AAATCTTCTGACCTTGAATTAGGCAATGGTTTCTTAGATATGACACCAAAAGCACAAGCAACAAAAGAAAAAAATAGATCAACTGGACCTCATCAAAATTAAAAACTAAGGCATGCCATAGAAAGTTAAAAAGAAGGAAAAAATAAGAAAGAGAGGAAGTAACCAGGCAGGCAACATAAACGTAGAAGAGAAGGACTCGCAGTCAGATCCTCTAAGCACTATTTTCACAGCCTTTTTTCATTTCCGATCATCTGCAGAAATCCTGTTTTGCAGACTGTGTTAAGGCTAACATCAGGATCTTTTCCCACGACAGCAAATTCTTAGGAGGGCTGAAAAGAAGGGACCGGAGTAGTGCAGGACCAACAAAATAAAACAGCAATAATTATAAGGCATAATATGCACTCCCTCCCCCACCCTAGAACATTCACAGCCAAAGTGAGAATCTGCCACCAAGTGAGAATCCATCCCGGCGGGAAGCACAGCTGTTAGCCCACGCCCGGTAAGGAAGAGGCACCTGGAGCACAAGATTCAGAGGCCCCGTGGGCCCAGCTGGCCGGCAGGCGCCAAAAGGCGGACAAGTCTAAGTCAAGGACTCACCAGATTTCCTTCACTTCAGGCCCGACTTTGCTTAATCGGTGATCTACTGGGACACAGATAAGGCTTTGGCAATAGCTACGGAAATCTGTCACCACATCAGCCCTAGCGACAGTCCACACCAGAGGGAAAAAAGAACAGCTCCTCCGCCCGGCCAGATTGCCTCCCAGAGATTCACAAACCAACAAAAGGGTAAAGACGTTCAATGATTAAACTGAAAAGAGAAAAAGGAGGAAAGAAAAGGTGAGAGGGTCCAGAAGGTCTGGACCGCCTCCTCTCCCACCAGTGGAGTGTCCTTACCCCCTGATGGGGTCCCTCGCACCTGGATGCGCACCTGGAGTGATCTCAGACCCCGCCCGACCTGAGACTGCACCCTCGCCCCAGCTGACCCCCTGCCCCGGCGACGGTCATCGCTGGGGTCTGTTCGCGGGCCTGGGATACGCAAAGCAACTTTTCAGGCGGGATCAAACGCCCGGAAGCGGGGAGAGAAGGTCACGGGCTCCAGCCCCAGGCCCGCCTCCCTGCCCAGCGCCCCCACCTGGCTCACCTGGCTCGGCCGCCGTCCCGCGCGCCTCTGTCTCCGGCCGCCGTGTCCCCCGTTTTTGGGTCGTTGGCGGGTTATTTTCCGCCTGGCCCCACATCACTTCCCGTAAAGGAGAGCGAGGGGGGGCGGGACCTCCTCCCTTCCCTCCACCTCCTGCTTCCTCCTGTCACCTCTGGGGGCACCCCGCCGACTCTGGGGGCAGGTTAGGGACCAGGGCGCAGGACCAGGAAGCCAGGGACGCACGCACGGGCTTACTTGTGCGTCCTTACTAATCTGAGGTGCACAGTTCCACATGGGTTTCAAAGAGGTGATGGAAAGCAGGTGAAGCTGTTGTACCAGACTAGTAAGGACGCACAAGTAAGCCCGTGCGTCCCTCGCTCGTTGGTCACCCGCCCCCGTGCGGGACGCTCTGCCCAGGGACACCTGCCCGGGGAGCGGCGAAGGACCGCACCTCCGGGTCCTCTTACGAGCCACGAGAGGCCCGTGCTCGCCACGTTTGTCCCAAACCAGGTCTCCGCTGACCTTTTCTGGAAGGCGCGAAACGGTCTGCCGGGGCGGGGAGCGTTTCGTTTTGACAACACAGGGTGACACTTACAAGTGTCTGGTGACGCTCGCCGGATCTCCTCCTCAAAGCCACCTTCTAGAGGTGTTCTCAGCGCGCCGGCCGGCGCCAGCACCGCGCTAGCCAGAGGCGGCGGGCGGCTCCCGAGGCCAGGCGGCCACGGTCCATCCCGCCCTGCAGCGCTCCACTCGGGTCAGCCTGGGTACGGCCTTCCGAGGCGCGGGAAAGCCACGGGAAAACGAAGCAAAATTCTGTCGGGAAAAAATATAATTCTAAGAGAAAATGACAAACGGGGTCTCTCCTTACACCGTCGAATTCGGAATTTAAAACCACTCTAATTTCTAAGAAGCCAGAAGACTCCATTAGAGCCCAGCGGACGGGAAATCTGCGAGCCTTTGCTGCCCCCCAGCGGCTCCCTTCTCTCAGCGCCGGGGGAGCCTGCAGGGCCCGCCATACCTGTGGTTGAGCAGCAGGGGAGACCAGCTGGTTCCCACCCTGAGGCGGCCAAGCTCCCCCTCCAGTAGCCCAGGTCTGAACAGTGACCTCTGAGCCCGCCCCCTGGCCTCTCAGGTAAAGCACCTCTGAACCAAATAATTCCCCGTCTTCAAAAAAACCCATCGCCTTCAAGTCGATTCCGACTCACAGCGACCCTATGAGTGGAACAAATTGGTTGGAAGCCTTAGTCCAGCTTCTTTCAAAAATGTCAATTGATCTGTGTCAACCTCCACCACAAATTCCAACCCCATCATCCTTGCAGTCTACAGCTACTCACAGTTTGCATCACAGAAGAGGTGGTTTCTCAGGTATGTGCCCAATTTACAAAATCACATATTTGTTGTTGTTAGGTACCGTTGAGTTGGTTCCAACTCATACTGACCCTGTGTACAACTGAAACTGCTTGGTCCTGTGCCATCCTCATGATCGTTGCTGTGTTTGAGCCCATCACTGCAGACACTGTGTCAATCCGTCTCGTTGAGGGTCTTCCTCTCTTTCGCTGACCCTCTACTTTACCAAGCATGATGTCCTTCTCCAGGGACTGGTCCCTCCTGATAACACGTCCAAAGTGCATGAGACAATGTTTCACCATCCCTGCTTCTAATGAGCATTCTGGCTGTACTTCTTCCAAGACAGATTTGTTCATTCTTCTGGCAGTCCATGGGATATTCAATATTCTTCGCCAACACCATAATTCAAAGGCACCAATTCTTCTTCAGTATTCCGTTTATTGCCCAGCTTTCACATGCATATGAGGTGACTGAAAACATCATGGCTTGGGTTAGGCACACCTTAGTCCTTAAAGTGACATCTTTGCTTTTTAACACTTTGAAGAGGGCCTAGAAGCAACTATATCACAGTACCAATGAACACATTTTAGCACCCAGATCTTCATCTCTCAATACCATTTTCCAATTAAAGGAACTAAGTACATTATTTTATATACAGAAAATCCTAAAAGAATCCACACTAAAAAACCAGAGCTATTAAAAAAATTCAGTTAAGCTGCAGGATATAGGATCAACACAAAAGTCAGTCGTATTTCTATACACTAGCAATGAAGAATCTGAAAATTAAGATAACAATTTCATTTAGAGTGGCATCTAAACGAATAAAATACCTCAGAATAAATTTAACCAAGGAATGCACGCCTTATACACTGAAAACCACAAAACACTGCTGAAATTAAAGACGACATAATAAATGGAAAAAAAATTCCATGTTCATGGATAGGAAGACTTAATATTGTAAAGATGGCAACATTCCCCCAAAGCAATCTACAGATTCAATACAATCACTATCAAAATCCCATTAGCCTTTTTGCAGAAAAGGAAAATCAATCCTAAAATTGATATGAAATTACAAGGACCTCCTATAGCCAAAACAATCTTGAAAAACGGAGGACTCATACTTCCCAATTTCTAAACTTACTACAAAGCCATACTAATCAGGAGTGTCATACTGTCACAGGGATAAACATATAGATCAGTGGAATAGAATTCAGAGTCCACAAATAAACCTAACACGTATGGTCAATGGATTTTCGACAAGGGTGCCAAGACCAATGGAGAAAGAGCAGTCTCTTCAACAAACAGTGCTGGGAGAACTGGATATCCACATGTAAAAGAATGAAACTGAACCCTTACCACACCAAATACAAACTCAAGATAAATCAAAGACCTAAATGTTGTTGTTGTTAAGTGCCATCGAGTTGGCTCTGACTCATAGCAACCTTATATATAACAGAATGAAATTTTGCCTGGTCCTGTGCCATCCTTGCAATCGTTGCTATGTTTGAGCCCACTGTTGCAGCCAGTAGGTCAATCCATCTTGTTGAGGTTCTTCTTTTTTGCTGACACTCTGCTCTACCAAACATGATGTCCTTCTCCACAGACTGGTCCCTCCTGGTAACATGTCCAAAGTACATGAGACAAAGTCTTGCCATCCTTGCTTCTAAGGGGCATTCTGGCTCTACGTCCCCCAAGACTGATTTGTTTTCTTGGCAGTCCATGCTATATTCAAATTTGCTAAAAATATACAACTCTTAGAAGAAAACACAGGGGTAAATGTTCATGACCTTGGATTTGGCAATGGTTCCTTAGAAATGATACCAAAAGCACAAATTAACAAAAGAAAAAATAAACTGAACTTCATCAAAATGAAGAATTTTGTGTATTAAAGCACACTATTGAGAGAGTGAAAAATACAACCCACAGAATGGAGAAATAATTTGCAACTCATGTATGTGATAAGAGTGTAGCATCTGAAATACATAAAAAATTCCTACAATTCAGCAACAAAAAGACAAAACCCAATGAAAAAACGGGCAAAGGATTTGAACAGACATTTCTCCAAAGATATACCAACGGACAACAAGCACACGAAAAGATGTCCAACATTATTAGTCATCAGGCAAGTGCAATCAAAACCACAACGAAACTCCACTTCACACTCACTAGGTTAGCCATAATAAAAGACAGGTGATAACAAGTGTTGGCGAGAAGGTAGAGAAATTGGAATCCTCATCCATTGCTGGTGGGAATGTAAAATGGTACAGCCACTGTGGAAAAGTCTGGCAGTTGCTCAAAAGTTCAGAGTTACCATATGACCCAGCAATTCCACTCCTAGGTATACACCAGAAAGAACTGAAAACAGGGATTCAAACAAATACTTGTACATGAACGTTAGCAGCACTATTCACAACAGCCCAAAGCTATAAACAACCCAAATGTCCATCAACAGATGAATGGATAAACAAAATGTAGTATATCCATACAATGGAATATTATCCGGTCACAAAAAGGAATGAAGTACTGATACATGCTACAACATGGGTGAACCTTAAAAGCATTACATTAAACCAAAGAAGTCAGACACAAAAGGCCATGTTTTGATTCTGTTTATGTGAAATATTCAGAATAGGTAAACCAAAGAGACAGAAGGCATTTTGGTGGTTACCAAGGGTGGGGAGTGACTGCTTAATGGGTACAAGGTTTCTTTTTGGGGTGATGAAAATGTCTTAGAAGTAGAGGCGATGGCTGCTAAACATAGAGAATGTACTAAATGACACTGAATTGTATTCGTTACAATAAGCGCACATTGGTTAAGCACTTGTCTGCTAACTGAAAGGTCAGTGGTTTGAACACACCAGCCACTCCACAGAAGAAAGATGTGGCAGCCTGCTTCCGTAAAGATTACAGCCTTGGAAACCCTATGGGGCAGCTCTACTCTGCCCTACATGGTCATGGTAAGTTGAAATTAACTCAACAGCCATGGGTTTTTTGGTTTTAGAGAACAATATATTACTTACAATTATTCATTTCTGCTTAAAAGAAATTACTAATCTGTCCTGGTAGAAAGACATAAAATGGCAATTAAAGTACAAAAACATTAAAATTGACATTGCTACCTTAACAACGCATTTTAAATACCAGACCTAGCAATAGGAGAAAGACAGGTAAAGAATTATTACTTTTCAATATCAGCCCTTTTGTATTTCATTTTTTAATGTTTAAAATGTATTTGAGAAGGTTTTACCAGATTATTTATAGTCAATGTACAATTTCAATGGAACTTTAATTATTACAGTTCAACTCCATATAGTATTAACTCTTCTTCTCTTCTGATTCTTGTGCCAATTTCAACTTTTCTTTTAATGCCTGCTGATCTCTGGAATACTGTTCAAATATTGGTTGATAAATATACACTCCTCCAGCGATTCCAAGGATGGTGGCAAAAAGCCACTGTGGAAGAGTCAGTCTTCCAAACATTGTTTCAACAAACGCAGCACAATGCAAAGGTGGATTTGAAAGATTCCACTCCCAGATCCAGGAAATCTCTTCAGATCTCTGTACAAAGAAAACAGGAAGCAATAATTTAGCACAACATCCTTTTAAGATTTCATGTCACTACTTTGCTCTGGAGCGAACAATATTTTTGTCATGTAAACATTACTTTCTGTTGTTAACTGAAATACATACAGTGTAAGGTAAAGCTAAATCCTCTTCTACTACAGAATGTCTAAATATAAAGTGTTAAATGGATAATTCAAAAACCATGAAAAAAAGACCTACTCTTTATACCTTTAAAGGTATACCATGAAGCTAACTACTAAAAGAAACAGCAAAGTGATTGCCTCTGAGGAATCAGACCTAGCAGTAGGAGAAAGACAGGTAAAGAATAATTACTTTTCAGTATCAGCCCTTTTGTATTTCATTTTTTAAAACAGTATGTATGATTAAAAAAAATTTTTTTAAAACCACATTGCCAAAGTGTTACAGACACATGACAACCCCATGTGTTACAGAGTAGAACTGCTCCATACGGTTTTCTTGGCTGTAATCATTAGGAAGCAGGCCTTTTTTCCACGGAGCCACTGGATGGGTTCAAACTGCCAACCTTTAAGTTAACAGCCTATCACAAACCACTTGTGCCACCCAGGCTCCTTAATATGATAGAAACAACAAATTTTTTTAAGTGCTAGGCTGCTAACTAAAAGGTTGGTGGTTTAAACCCACCCCCAGAGGACAAAGACCTGGCCATCTGCTTCCTTAAAGATCTGCTTCTTTAAAGCCTAGAAAACCCTACGGGACAGTTCTCTCTGTCACATGGGGCCAGTATGAGTCGAAAATTGACTCAATGCCACCTAACAACAAAAGATTTTATGTACCTTACTTTTGATACTTTAGTAGATACAAGCAGACATATGAATCATTTCCTATCCATTTTTTTCCCAAAATTTTGTTGTTGTTGTTAATATACACAGCAAAACATACACCAATTCAACAGTTTCTACATGTACAATTTAGTGACACTTATTACATTCTGGGAGTTGTGGAACCATTCTCACCCTCCTTTTCTGAGTTGTTCCTCCTTCATTAACATGAACTCACTGCCCCCTAAGGTTCTTAATCTTTCAAGTTGCTGTTGTCAATTTGATCCCATATAGATAGTTCTTAAAAGAGCATAATGCTCAAGACAGCCCTTTTTTATTAGTTAAGTTAAACTTACTGTTCGATTTTAAGAAGACTTCAGGAATTATTTCTGGTTTAAGGTTTAAAGATTATCTCAGGACAATAGTTTCAGGGGTTCACCCATCCTACCATTCATTTTTGACAAAAATACAATGGAGATTTGGCTGGTTTTACTTTCAACAACTAAAAAGTTAAGATTCTAGTACTTCTGGAAAGTAATACTCCTTGCCAACACCTTCGTTTCTGGAGAAACCAGGTGGATGTTTATAAACGAAGAAAACAGTGTGAAAGATTTACATGTTTTCTTTTGGCTGGCCTTTATTGTAATAATCAGCTGTGTCCCCGACCAGGCCCCAAGGTCAAAAGTCATTAGTGACAGAACCAGTTTGAGAAATACTAACGTGCCTTTAATACTCCTACAATGTAACTTAAAATAATTTGGGAAAGAAAAATCCGTTTTCTCCCGGTCTCTACTGTTGATTAGATAAATGCCTACTTCACTAAGCCTGCTTTAATTCAACGGCCGCTTAAGAGCGTATTAAAAGAAGAAAGAACTGTTTGCAAGTCAGCTCCTTCGAAAACAGATAATTAAACCACACAGAAACGAGAAGGCTCCCGCTGGGTCAACAGCTCGCTAAAAGACTGACCAAGTCATGTAACCTTTTTGAGCCTCAATTTCCACGTTTGTACAAGGGACTCAATCTTCCCTACCCGGCCTACCTCGTTACACAAGTATTTATTGGGCTATCACACACACAGTGTAAAGTTACACAAACGCTGACGTTTACAAACACCATTAGCAGTATTAATACAGCTGAGGCACCTCTGACCGTTCTGCGTCCACTCGGCGTCGCGCCTCCCGCCTGTCCCTGCAGAGATGAGGTCGGGCTCCTTCCAGCCAAGTTTCCGGACACTGGGCGCAGGGACCACAAAGCCAAGGGCGGGCAACGACTCTGGCGGGAAGGAAATGCCAAACGGAAAGCGCGGGCGAATTCGCGGCGAAGCGAAGCGGCGCAGGGCAAACCCGCAGCACTCGGACGCGGACACGACTTCCGGGGGTCTGTCGTGAGGGAAGTGGCCCTTTCCCGGCTATCTCCGCGCCTGCGAACGACGGCTCCTGGCAGAGACCAAACCTAGTGGACAGAAGAGCAACCGCGCCGTCTGCTTCGCACGCCGGGTGAGGGTGGCGCTCAGGGACCTGCCGCGGGTCGCCGAGCAGGTGCAGGATGGAGCAGGAGGGCGGCGACAGCAGCCTTTTCTTCCGCGGTCTCCAGAGCCGCTCCCACGAGAAGATGAAGCTGCGAAAGAGAAAATCGGCCTTGTACCTCAGTGCCGAGGAGGCGAGCGCCGGGCGCCGCCGGGGTGAGTAAGGGGCAGTGGGGGGAAGCTGCGGGGTTTGCGCGAGGGCTCCGTCGGCCGGGTGGGGCCGCCGAGAACCCGCAGGACCTCGTGAGGTGATTCTGGGCCCCTGCGGCTTGCGCGCGCCGTTCTCCGGGCGAGTTCACGCGTCCTCTCAGCGGCCGGGGGCGGCGACTCGGCGCGGTGTGGTTACCCTCGTTCTACAGAGGGGGCGCCGAGGCCGGGACGTACCCCGTGTTAGTCCCGGAGGGTGGCCTGGAATGGGAGCAGATCTGACTTCCGCCGCCTTCCTTTTTCCCGTCGCCCGGGTGCCTCCTCTTTAGACCGATGTGATGCTGACGGAAGGAGAGTCTCCCCGTGAAGCGGGCTTTTGATCTGTCAGAGGGGTTATTTAACATAAACATGGCCTCCTCATTCATTCGGTAACCCTACGTTGGGCCCCTTCTGTGCCGAGCACGGTGGAGGCGGTATGACAAGAATGCCCGATTTCTCCTCTGGAAATCTGAGACCCAGAAAGGGGAGAATCGTTTTGTTAAACGTGAGGAAGGAACAGAGGAAAAGCGATGGTGGCGGGGGCGGCAGCTGGCCCGAGCTTGCCCCCTTCCTCACCCTGAGGCCCTACAAGTTGGATCCCTTCAGGAAGGGACAGTACCGACGGTAAATGTAACGGGGCTTGTCACACAAGTGCAGTGGAACCTTCAGGTGGCCGAGCTCAGTTGTTCAAGGGCCGGTTCTGAGCACTGTTTAATCCGTCTGGGTCCACAGAGAAAAGGCGGGAGAAGGAAAGGACAGAAGGGTTTTCTGGCAGCAGGTGTAGTCCAGTCGGGAGGTTTATTTTTCAGTGTTTCTGCAAGATGACGGTTCAGATGGGGTCATGTATGTCTTGGTGATGAGTATGCCAGTTGTCTGAGAAACAAAGTGTGCTCGTGGAGAATAAAAAAGGAAGGTGGTAGGAACCCAGAGTGATAGCAAAGACCAACACTAGATCAGAGGCCGGTTGCAAACTCCAATACCCAGGACGCTGGACAGGCAAGGCTGAATAAGTGAAGCCATCCAAGAGCTTCTGCCCTATCTATAGGGGGCCGCCTATATTTCATTACCAGCCATATGTTGCCAGTTGAGCTCTCTATTGCAAAATCTTAGTTTTGAAATGCTGGAAATCCAGATTTTAATATAAAATCTGATTTTTAAGCGTGGACAACTAAATTCAAATTTTAAAAAATACACTGTATTCAGCCTACAGGTTGTCTTATTTGCAGTGAAGAGTAAGGACTTTGGAGGCCACAGACCGACCTGGGTTTGAATCCTGTTTTTGTCATTTACAAGCTGTTTGACTTTGGACAAGGCAATTTAACTTCTCTGAACCTCAGTTTCCTCATATGTAAAATGGGGCTAGTAAGACAAAAAGGTTCCGTAGAAGAAGCACCTGTTAAGCTCCTTCCTTTAAGATTACAGCCAGGTACAACTATTGGTCTCTGCTCGTCTGGAACAAAAGAGAAAGAAGGAAGCCAAAGACTCGTGGAAGAAAGTAGTCTACAGGGCTAATAGGCTACACGAACCACAGCCTCATCTATCCTGAGACCAGAACTAGATGGTGTTCAGCTACCGCTACCGACCATTCTGATCAGGGCCACAATAGATGGATCCTGATAGAACAGGAGAAGAAATGTGGAACAGAACTCAAATTCTTAAGAAGTCCAGACTTACTGGACTGGTTGAGAGACTCCCTGAGACTGTTGCCCTGAGATACTCTTTAAACCTTAAACCGAAATTAACCCTTGAGGTCACCTTTTAGCTAAATAACAGATTGGCCCATAAAATAAATAATATCATGCATGAATAATGAGCTTCTTTAAAAAATCATTTATAGGAGACAGAATGGTCAAAAATTACTCCAAAGCAAAGATGAGAAGGTAAGGGGACAAGCAAAGTAGAGTAGAGAACGGAATGAATAAGAATGATGACACTTTGTGAAAAATGTAACCAATATCACTGAATAATCTGTGTAGAAATTGTTAAGTGGGAACCCAATTTTCTGTTTAAACTTTCAACTTGTTGTTGTTGTTAGGTGCCATCAAGTTGGTTCTGACTCATAGCAACTCCATGTACAACAGAATGAAACAGTGCCCAGTCCTGTGCCGTCCTCACAATTGTTGTTACGCTTGAGCCCACTGTTGCAGCCACTGTTGTCAGTCCATCTTGTTGAGGGTCTTCCTCTTTTTCACTGACCCTCTGCTTTAACAAGCATGATGTCTTTCTCCAGGGACTCATCCCTCCTGATAACATGTCCAAAATACTTGAGACGAAGTTTAGCTATCCTCCCTTCTAAGGAGCATTCTGGCTGTACTTCTTCCAAGACAGATTTGTTCAGTTTTCTGGTGGTCCATGGTATATTCAGTTTTCTTCGCCAACACCATAATTCAGATGCATCAGTATTTCTTCAGTCTTCTTTATTCATTGTCCACCTTTCACCTTAAGCACAATAAAATATTTTAAAAAAAAAAGACAGCCAAGAAAACCCTCTGGAGCAGTTCTACTCTGTAACACATGGGGGCACCATGAGTCGAAATTGACTCAGTGGCAACAGGTTTGGGTTTTCTCGTTTTCCATAGCATTTTTTTGAGGATTAAATGAGATTGTGCATGTAGAGGGATTAACACAGTACCTGGCGTATCATAAGCATCAATAAAGCCTATTTTAAAATATATGCACAACCATTTCATATGCCACTGTCAGAAGAGTTGTTTTTTAAGTTAGTAAGCAAGTTTTGTCTTTTGTTAGCTAGTTTATTTTACTAGACACACACGTAGGATAATCTAAGGCTTTTGTTAACCCAGTCCCTTTCAATATTTAGCTTAATATTCTCCTTATGTAATAAGTTTCATGAAAGGTTAAACAGAAGGAGGGACAGTGGTGAGGTTCACCCAGTGGTGAGGTTCTAGCCCTACTATAACTCTCAGTCGGGGTCTGCTTTGGGAGTGACTTGGAAGGGCCGGATTCCACTACCATACCCTAACGTGAGCAAGGGGCCAACCAGAGCAGTAAAATGTAAGTTCTGCCACGTGGAGCTTGCTGGACTTTTTATGGCGCAATTACCTGTTTTGTTTTGTTTTTCAGATCTTCTTGGTGAAAACATTTACCTGGTCTTGTTTACTGTAGCTTTGAGAATATTTAACTGCTTTTTAGTTCAGACAAGTTTTGTTCCAGATGAATACTGGCAGTCTCTTGAAGTAGCACATCACATGGTTTTCAAATATCCTTTGTAGTTTTTTTTCTAAACTAGGAATGTATGTTCATCTTAGGGATTGTGTTCACTCTGTATTGCGTACTTTAAATCAATTCTTCATATTTCTCCAAGTATATTATGACTCAAGGAATCCCATCATTTTATGCTAGTGTTCCTTCTACATCTTTTTTTTTTTTTGTTAGTATACCCAATTCAGCCTTTAACGAGTATATGTTAATCCCTGCAGTGCTCAGTGCTGTGGAGGATACATGAAGTAAAAACACATTCCTGCCTTGAAGAAGTTAAGAATTTAGTTGGACAACTGCATTTTTAATTCAAATATCCAGTATAAAGTGCCTAGGTGTTTTAAAGCTTCATTGTCAAAAAATAAAATGTTTTATACATGGAAATGAAAATAGATTTCGTTTCAATACTATTTGAAATTTAATCCTTAATACTACTAATTATGGTTATTTGACCTGGGAGTGGACAGAAAGATTGAGGGGTTACACTTACCCCTTAATCTTTGCAAGCATTTACAAGATTCTGCATCTTTTGGGGAAAGATAGTGTTCAGTTGCTGGTAAGTTTAAATAAAAGTAACTAAAATCATTGTTAAAAGTCAATTTATTCCATCCTTTTTTGAAATGAATGTATGTTAACTAAATGGTATTACTGGCACCATGAAGTTTGTCTTTAAAAGGCTACTGCTGCTGAAGTCTGGCCATATCTGGGAATATCATGGTTCCAAACACATGCTGTGATGTGTAACTCTTCAATAAAACTCAAACATGAGAGTGACCTGCCTAAGGAATCCTGCTAAGATGTGCAGATTTTAAGAATGACTACATCTTGCATTAATGATTTAAACTTTAGACGTTTACTTCCTTTATAAACGAATCACTTGAGAGCAGTGTTTTTTTTTATCTTGTAAGTGGTTATATGAACTTGTAAAGAATACATATAAACAGGATTTAGTATTGAAATAAAAACTTAGAAAAAAATTAATTTGACAAAAATTTAATAATATGCATCATTAAGCTATGTAGTAATTAGAGTCCTTGGGTGGTGCAAACTGTTAGGACTCCTAGCCTAAAGGTTGTCGGTTCATAACCCACCCAGAGGTGCCTCAGAAGACAGTCCTGACGATCTGCTTGCAAAAGGTCACATCCTTGAAAACCCTGTGGAGCAGTTCTACTCTGCACACATGGGGTTGCCATGAGTTGGAATCCACTTGCCGATTGTAATTCCTAGATCATGCATTTCTGGGGTCAGTTGCTGGGAGAGAGTATGAGCTGATGCAGAAGTTTCTCTAACCTCAATCTCAAGATTCTTGAAGCTATCATCAAGTCGGAACCAGAAGTTTGGGCCTTCCCCCTTTTTCTATTAGGGAGGGCTGGTAGGGGTGGCTCCATATTCCAAAAGGAGTCTAAGTTTGAGGTATTTTGGGGGCCTGGAAAGGCACTCAGGTTCTGGGGCATTTGTTTTAAGGCAAGGTTGTACAGAGGAAATTTGATTGCTCGTCAGTGAAAAAACGAGGACAGACCAGTGAAACATGCCTCACCTGGGAAGATCGCAGGGATGGAGAGTTTAGAGCAGTAGCAGAGTTTCCCCCACAGACCCTGGAGTTTAGGAGCTGTGAACTCTCTTTTCTCCCCTCAGGGCTACCTCCTAGTTTCTAAATTATACAGAGTATTCATGAAGTCTGGAACAATAAGTAAATATACATAATGTGATGAAGGACATCTTATATCCCAGGAAGTAGGTTAGATTATGAATGAAGGAGTCTTTAAGAGAGCCAAAACAACTTCCAATTCAAATAATCCAGGACTTATCCACTGCCCTCAACCTATAGCTGACCCACCTGGCCTTTTTGTGAACCAAAGGAAACTGGCCCTCACTCCAGCCTTCCCCCCAAAAAAGACCTCTGACCTACCTGGGACTTGATGAGGTAGAGGATGTCATAAGTCTGTCAATTACAGTCTGTATTGCTTATTTTAAACATAGGTTATATAATTTTGAAGTTAGGAGGGTCAGAGAAGTGAAGTAAATAGACCAGGGTCACAGCATTTTAATAGCAGAGCTACAACTAGGTCCTAGGTCTATTTATTCATAGCCTAGTGCTCTTTTCAGATAGCTCCCCCCTGAACTACCTAAGGTGTTTGCACAGAATTGGGGATGGTCACAGTCCAGTATGGTAGCCAATAGCCCACATTAAACACTTAAAATGTGGCTAGTCCAGATTGAGAAGTGCTGTTAGTATAAAATACATATTGATGTCAAAGACCTAGTATGGAAACAAAATAATGTAATATATTTCTATAATTTTTATATTGATTAAATGTTGAAACGATACTATTTTAGATGTATTAGGTTAAACAAAATAACTGAAATTAATTTTACCTTTTTTTGTTTTTACTTTTTTAATGTGGCTGCCGTTAAATTTCATGTGTGGCTCACATTATACTTCTGTTGGACAGTGCTGGCTTAGAGCATATGAAGGGAAAGAGAGAGGAAAGGGGAGACCCGAATGGGGTACCACAGTGGGGGTTTTGAAGAGTCAGAAGACAGCACAAGGGCATGTGGATCTTGGCGCCTAAGGGAAGAATCAGGAGTTTAGAGAACAGGAGGCTAGAATGGACTGGTCAGCTGCCAGCACGGACTTGTACTCGAGGTTTACCCAGGCACATTCCTTGTCTTCACCCCTCCCTACAAACTTTTCCTTTTCCAGAAGCCATGTGTAACTATTGTTTAATTCTCATCAGGTCCTTACTACAGCCTGGAAAATGACAGTATCTTAAAGTTTGGAGAGACTGCTAATGACTGCCCCCAAAACCAAACCCCTTGCCATTGAGTCAGTTCCAACTCATAATGTCTAGGAGTTCACAATTCCAGTTATTTTTCTGTTGAGCTTGAATTCAAGATTTCTACATGACAACCCTTCAAGAAGTGTTCTTTACCCTGGCTGTACATCTCTAGTTTTAAATGTCACAATCATAGATACTGTCTTCTAGACACCTTGTAATTTATTAGTATCCATCTTAAAATGTGTGTCTCCAAACTGAGCATAATACTGAAGATTAGGGTAACAGTTCAGAGTGGAGTGGGATCATTAACTTCATCAATACTATACTTAGTGCACAAGGATTCTGCACTATCTTAGTAGCTCTCACACTGTTGGCTCCTTCCTACCAAGTCTGCAGCCAAACTGACTTCTCACGTGAGCTACTTTCAGAGGGCCTGGGAGGTGAGGATAAACCTTACAGATCCTTATGCAGGATAAACAGAGGTATATACATAAGTGCCTTTGACTGTATTTTACAGGGACAGTTTAACTGGAATTAGGAAGTACAAGGGTACCTTTAACTCTCATATTTAAGCATTTACTTACAAATCATTGGTAAAGAAAAGGAACCTTAAAGCTTAAGTGTTAGAAGCCACAGCTGAAAGTAAAGCAGCTCTAGTTACAATGTAATGAAGTTTGATTCAACAAAAATATAAATTTATATATGTTTTTAGAAACACATCTCTTGGACGATTTAATTGTGCTCTGCCAGCAAGTTTTTTTTTTTTTTTTTTTTTTTTTTTTTTTTTTTACTGATAATATGATCCATTTTTTAAAACTCTCTGGATCCTAATGTATATCATTGGAATTTCTAACTGAATTTCAATTATATGTACTTTTTCATGTCATCTGAATGCTATATTTCTATAATTTTAGAATACATGTACTTTTTAAAAAAGTAATTCATTGTCTTATTTTATTATCTATATTGCAGGGGAGGCAGAGTAGTGTGGCAGTTAAGAGGACAGGCTTTGGAGTCAGGCCAACCTGGCTTTGAATCCTGACTTCCAGACACTATCTAGCTGTGTAGTCTTGAGAAAGTTACTTAATCTCTCTGTGCCTCAATTGCCTTATCTGTTAAACAGGAATAAAATAGTATCTAAACCTCATAGGATTGTTAAGAGGACTAAATGAGGTAATATGTATGTATAAAGTACTTAGTATGATACCTAGCACATTGTACTGTAAATGCTTGATTAAAAAAATCACCTATTGTTATGCTGGTAAGTAAATGTGCTTCTAACAACTTTAGCACAGTGAAATGGTTTGCTGGCTATTTGAATTAAAAGTAGGAGTGTTGCAGTAGTGAGAGACAGTGGTAAAACATTGGGTATTTCCATGACAAATTAATAAAATCCTTGTAGAAAAACATGTGTTTTTGCAGAAGAATAGAACTATGTCTGTTATGTACTGAGAATGGTTTTCAGTTAGTATTTGGATCAGCTTGTTGATTTTTATAAAAATTCAGTGTGAACCAACATATCCTTTTGATTAATATATTCTTCTTCTTTTTTTTTTTTAACTTCTGAAGATCTGGGTTCCTAGACTCGCCCAAGCACTTCTGTCGGCCATAGCAGATGTGAGGCTTTACTCATTAATGAAGCAACTAGGAAATCAGGAAACAGCAAGATGGGTGGTAAGTTATAAACACTTTAGAAACTGTATGCCAGTTACTTTATTTGTACGGGCATAAAACACGGAATATTCAGATTCCCAAAACAGTTGCAGAAGGTAATTCATACAATATTTTAGAGGTACTTTCATAATTAAGAGTAAAAACCAAACCCATTGCCATCAAGTTGATTCCTACTCAGAGCGACCCTATAGGACAGAGCAGAACTGCCCCATAGGGTTTCCAGGGAGCAGCTGGTGGATTTGAACTGCCAACCTTTCGGTTAGTAGCTGTAGCTCTTAACCACTGCAGAATGGTACATGCCCTGTCTCCTCACTGAGCCCTCAGTGATGGAAGCCACTGATGCCCTCAAAGATATTAGAGGCTAAACCCTAGGAGACAGCCTTTGGAAGTCCTTTCACTCCTCAAAACTGTCAGTTTTTGCTTCACCTTCCATAAAATTCAGTACGAAATATTCTAACTAACTGCCTGCCTCACAGAGCACCTCAGGAAAAGCCACTAACTTTGTAAAAATTGGGAACAATTCTTAAAGGCTATATTTGAAGAGATAGAAAACTACTACCACGTGCTTGACCACCTTGCCCCTACAAGCAAGTTTCTTTTGTTTTGGAGACTTAATGATGCTTCTGTGTGCATGCTTTTCCAAGAACTGGCTTATTTAGCCATTTTTCAAATTAAAATTTAATAATGTTTCCTGACAGTCATTTTTCTCTCGTCTTTTTCCTGTTTTGTCTTTATTTTTCATCAAGAAGTAGGGCAGCATACCAAACTAAGGTCACTGAGAAGTTCAGTTAAAAAAAAAAGTCTCTAAATACTTGTGTCGGAAATGTAAGACAGTTTGAGGATGCTGCCTGCGTGAATCTAGTCATGGATTTCAATCCTCTGTAAAATCTACCATCAAAGAATCCATGTTTTATGTCTTTCGTCAGTGGGAACTAGGGTTTAAACTAACTGCAGTGTCATTAAAATCTATACGAAAGTATAAGCTTCTTAATGTTTGCAAATATAGATCTGATATTATCATAGACCTGTGTTTAATAGAACTTCTTTAAAATGATGTTTAGACATGCTTACTTTTAACATCATTTACTTTTTCACGTGGTTTTCGCAATATTTAGAATTGTTTGCTGTTTTCCAGAAGGGCGTAATACTCAGGCTTTTCCACTTCCCACCCTTGCGTGTTTGCTCATAACTGTCCTTAGTTTTTTTGCCAGTTGTGCTCTTGGTTCACGTGGTATTGCTGTACCAGAACTCTCACAAACACCATGGAAACGGTTCTGACTATCATTGCTCTTTTCTACTATCCTTTGGAAGGGTCAAAGTCTGTCAACAGGTGAGCTATATTGCTGTTAATGATTATATACAAGACTCTAAAGCATGCTTCCAAAAAATCTTCAATATCAACATACTGTAATGTACAGTAGACTCCCTAATGCTCATGAGGGTTATGGGAACAACACATCTTCAGCTGATATATTTATTACAGCAGGAATCACAGAACACATTCAAACTGATTAACTAAGGAGAGTTTAATAAAAGGATTGTTTACAAAGGTGTAGACGATGTTTAGGGAAGCCAGTAAGGGGATACCACAGTATCCCAGGGCTTGGTCCAGGGCAAGGGGAGGGAACCATTCCTGGAATCCAAAGAGAGAGCTCTAACTGTACGAGGGAACCCCAACAGGAGACTGGCACAGCCCGCCTATAGCAGTAGCAGAGAACCAGGGGAGACTTGACTCTCCTCTTGCCCTCCAATTAACTGAAGCCAATCAGAAGCTGAAAAGCCAGGCAGCCCACTGATGTAATTCATAAAGGTTAGCCTCCCTGGAAATAGAGCAGGTGAAGGATGGGAAAGAAGGGATCTGGAAGGGCAAATAGAAAACATATAGCACAGTACAGACTGGGGAAGCAGATTTGGGCTTGTATAAAATGGCAAAGCAAGTACCAGGCACAGGGAGCAACGTGAGAAGGCACAGAGCCGTAAACAGGCTTTGGTGTAGTCCGAGCCGGTTGTCCCCTCAGCAGCTAGGATGTTGTAGGATGTGTGGGAGAGGAGAAAAATAAGGGATGAGGCTGGAATGGAACTTCGCCCTTCTCTAGAATTTGATAGTAGGGAAACATTGAAGGCTTTGAAAACATAACATAATCAAATCTGATTTAGAAAGAACCCTCTTGTAATAGAAGTATTTAGAATATACTGAAAGAGAAAGCCATTTGGAAGTCTGGCTAAGAAGCTAGTATCCATTCACTAAGTTACCGAAATGATAAGGACTTTACTGTAAAGCTACAGAGTCCCTGGGTGGTGCAAATGGTTAATGTGCTCAACCAACCAAAAGGTTGGAGGTTGGAGCCACCTTGGAAGAAACACCTGGCTGTCTACTGAAAAATCAGCCACTGAAAACCCTCTGGAGCACAGTTCTCTGACACACATGGGGTTGCCATGAGTCAGAACCAACTTGATGGTAACTGGTGTTATTATAAGGTGGTAAATGAAAATAGGGGAAATGGGCATCTCAGCCTGTGACCAGGCCTGGAAAAACAATCTCAGCCACCCAGATAGAATGGAAGGTTACTCAGAACCCAAGGCAGTGCTGGGGAGCGGATTGCTCTCTTGTGCCTTTACAGCCCCAAGAGTCTTTGCATCCCTGTTTTAGTCTTCTTTCATTGCCCAACTTTCTCTTGACCTCTCGTTCAATTTGAGAGGATAGGATTAGGTCTGTTAAATGTCATTGTCCCTGTTTGGACATAGCTGTCACACTGACCAGCCTCAGACTGGCTGCCTGGTCTCAGATGCCATCTCTGATTCAGTCAGGCGGGTAGGGTCATGAGGTACAAAAGCAGGTATTACCTGCCTGGTCCCTATAAGCACTACTGTATAAGCATTCTTCCGTATATAAAGCATGACAAGTACTGTTCCTGCCCTGAATAAAATAACTTTTTGTAATTTCTTCTAAAATGCAAATATTATAAATGAAATGAGGATTAAGGTGTGCCTGATCCACGCCATGGTGTTTTCAGTCACCTCATACGCGTGTGAAAGCTGGACAATGAACAAGGAAGACCGAAGAAGAATTGATGCCTTTGAGTTATGGTGTTGGTGAAGAATATCGAATATACCGTGGACTGCCGGAAGAGTGAACAGATCTGTCGTGGAAGAAGTACAGCCAGAATGCTCCTTAGAAGGATGGCGAGACTTCGTCTCACATGCTTGGCACGTGTTGTCAGGAGGGACCGCTCCCTGGAGAAGGAAGCCATGCTTGATGAAGTACAGGGTCAGTGAGAAAGAGGATGATCCTCAACGAGATGGACTGACACAGTGGCTCTAACAATGGGCTCAAGCATAATGATTGTGAGGATGGCGCAGGACCAGGCAGTATTTCCTTCTGTTGTGCCCAGGGTCACTGTGAGTCAGAACCAACTCGATGGCACATGACAACAACAACATAAATGAAAGTCTCCTTTAAGGATGGTAACACTTAGTGAGAGTATCTAAGCACTGATTTCTGTGAGATGAGAATAGTACAATGCCTGTCCTCAGAATTAAATGAGAATCTGTGTAAAGGATATAGCATATGGTCTATTCTAACGTAAGTGCCCGGTAAGTATTGGTGATGACCATGATAATGTTGTCGTTAAGTAAAGGAATATTTCGGGCAATACAAAAAAAAAGACAACAACAAAAGATTCCCAACAAGTACGAGGCTTGATGTAAAATGATGAGAATGGGAAGGAAGCAAAGTGGATGTGTGGAATGAGAAGTTGTTTAAGGGACTTCAAAGTTTTAAGACCGAGAAATTGAGTGATACGGTTAACTTAAATACTAGACACTGAACAGGTTAGAGGGAAAGGTTGGGGGGTTCGTTTGAGACACTTTAATTTTGAGTGCCAGTAAGAGATCTATGTAGAAATAACCAGAGAGGAGTCAGAAGTACAAGTCTGAAATGTTGGCGTGAGGTTGGGACTGGAAAGCAGACGTTGGGGAGGCCTCCGTGTGGTTTCCAGGAAGAGCAGTGACACTGGTGTGGCTAAAGGAGAGTTAGCGTGGGAGAACGTGACCAGTTGTGGTCAGGCTCCCTGCAGGTCACACCAACCCACAAAAATGCTGTATTTCACCTGCACACTGTTGTTTTTAAAAAAGTGAGTTACTTGGCCCATGTTTTAATTGGGAGATTTCACATAAAAATCTGCATTTCTGGTTTCTCTTGAAATATTGGAAGACCCAGCAACGTCCTGGGCCAGCATTCCCTCAGGACAGTGCTTGGCACCGACACTCTGCAGATTCCCAGAGCCCCACCCAGCCGGCCTCACTCACACTACTACCTGCCTGTCCCTGCGGGCATTCCAATCTGGAATCCCTACTCTTACAGCTTCAACAACAACGACTTCTCTCTAGTTATTTATTTTTATCAGTTAACAGTTATATAATGGTATCATAAAGTTCTTTTATTTTGCTTTATTTTGATTCCTAGCAGGGCTAATAATTACTGTCTGTAATTATTAAATCATCTATTTCAGCAGTTTACTGAGGAAGGCCTCATTAATAAAAATCCACATTTCTATCCATGATCACATAGCTTTATTTAGTAGGCTTTTACCAGCTGTACGTATGTAATCTTTCAGTTGGACAAAATTAGCAGTTTATTTTTAAAACAAAACTGTATATACTCAGAAACTCATCACTGCCTAAGTAATCCTAATGTTTCTGTAAATGTGTTTTTGGTTTTTTCCTTAGAGAAGGATTTTGTGAGACTCTCTTATAGCACCTTAGAAGAGAGCTGATCCTTTTTCCATCAGGAAAGCAGTTAGCAGAGTTGTGTTTAAAAGTTAGCGTACTTTTCAGCAAGCAAGACCAGCATTAAGACAGAATGCTTATTTGCAAATAACAGAATTAGTGTATTGGAGTTTGAAAAGACTTTAGATATTAACTCTTTCACAGATGAGAAAAATTTTAAAACCCAGAAAGTTTAAGTAACGTGCCCAAGTTCATATAGCTTTTTATACCATAAGGAACGTGCTCTCATTTTTTAAAAAGTATTATATCCCAGTATAAATAGTAGGTAAGTTCTCAGTTCATTTCCTGGTTGTTTGGACAACATATTTGCTTTGCATATAGCGTCAAGTACTTGTCCCTGCTGGCACTGGCCTTCGTAGTTCGCCCCACAGCTGTCATTCCATGGATACCTCTGCTCTTCAGACACTTCTGGCAAGAACACAGAAAGCTTGATCTTATTCTGCATCATTTTTTACTTGTAGGGTAAGTATGGCTGTAATCCATCTGTTAATTTTAATAACTCACAAAGTACAGATTGTGAAGATTTCACATCTTTCAGTCAATTACTGTATCTTCTAAAGTCAATAAGAACTATCAGTTGAAGAAAACAGGATCTCCACATTTTACTTTTGCCCACTGTGATTCTGATTAACTATAAATATTTTAATTTGCTTAAACAGGTTTTTTTTTTTCCAATTGTATCTAACTTAGAAATTTCCTATGCTTTATTTCCTAATGATTTCTTAAATACATTTTATAGATACTCTTCTTTTACATTTGTATAGGGCTTTATAGTTTACAATGTGTTTTCACATATTACCTCATGATTTCCACAATTCTTAGATCTAGGCAATACAGTTGTTTTTATTTTATAGAAGAAGAAACTGGGGGCTGGGAGAAATTAAAAATGAGTTAGCCAGAGTCACTGGGTTGGCTGCTATGATGGAAGTGGGATTGGAACACAGGTCTTCTAACTACACTCTGAGCTCCTAGGATCAGACTTATCTCAGGTATCTAGCAAAGTATCCAGAATAAGGGCTTATTGAAGAGATGAATGAATTCTGACTCTCAGAACAGCAATCTTTTAAATAATATTCACTCTGCACATGTATGTTTCTGGTAGCAATTTAAAAGGACTAAATTATCTTTGATTAATATGGCTAAGTTGCTCCTGCTGTCATTTCTCAGACTTACTAACACTGTTGTGAATGTATTCAGTCAGCAGATACCCATTTAGTCCTACTGCGTGCCAGGCACTGTTCCAGATGGTGGAGGCTGCAGTTTAACAAAACAAGTTCCCTGCTTTACTGAAGCTTACATTCTGGTTGTGGCTGACAGACCACTAAAAGGATAAGAGTAAATACATGTTTGTCAAGTGATGATAAATGCTAGAGAGAAAAATAACGTGGGATAAGATGGATAGAATGCTGGTGCAGGGGGTTGTGTTATCTTAGATGGGATAACTGGGGAAGACCACCATGAGAAGGTGCACTGGCATTGGGAGAATGAGCTATGTAGACACCTGAAGAAGGAATATGTTCCAAGCAAAGGGACCAGCAAGTGCTAAGACCTTGATGCAGGAGTGTGTTTGGCATATTCAGGGAACAGCAATGAAACTGGTGTGGCTAAAGGAGAGTGAGCTTGGGAGAATGTGACAGTGAAGTGAGAGAGAGAGCAGGGGCACAGATCGGACAGGTTTTTACACTGAGAGAGACAAAAAGTCTTTATAGTCTCATTAGCACTATAATTAGCTTTTCATTCAACAAGCATTTGCAAAACACCTTTTTTGTGTCAAGCATTTGAGAAGTCAGAAATGATAAGGTACGGTGTCTGCTCCCAAGTTCAAAGTCAGCTGGGGAAAAAGATATAACAGTAATTACCCAACAATAGAATTATAGTGGAGGTATATTGCGATGCTGTAGGAGAAAGTCAACAAAGAGCCTAATTCTGTCTGCAAGGGGAATGTTCATAAAAGCTTTATAAAGTAGGTGGTGTTTCAGATAACCTCAGGGATGAATGTGAGTTTGCCAGCATAGGGAATCAGGATGCTTACAGCTGAAAAGGCCCCAAGGAGCCTATTCATATAGATCAAAATATGTCTTGTTTACTCTGAAGAGAAAGGAAAAGAGCAAATGAGATAATGCACGTGAAAATACTTTGAAACTGTGCAGCACAGAACAAATGTGAATCCTAGTCCTAATTAGTCTTATATTCTCAAGGGAATTCTTTGCACTATTCTTGCAACTTTTCTATCAGTCAGAAATTATGTCAGAAAGTTAAACGGAAAACAAAAGCACCATTACAATGGCATCAAAGAATATCAGACACTTAGGAATAAACTGAATAAAAGGTGTACAAGACTCTCCACACAAAGCTACAGAACATTGAGAGAAATTAATGAAGGCCTAAATAAATGAATATACTATGTTCATGGACAGAAGACTAAATATTGTAAAGATATCAGTTCTCCCCAGACTGATCTATATATTCAATGTGATCTCAAGTAAAATCTTAGTATGTTTTGTGTGTATCAAGCTGATTTTAAGTTTTTCATAGGAATGCAAATAGTCAAGAATGGCTAAAGGACTTACTGGAGGACTTACACTACTAGATATTAAGACTTATGACAAAGTTACAGTAATTAAGACAATTTGGAATTAGCACAAGGTGAAACAGATGATCACTGGAAACATAATAGGGTCTGGCATCAAACCCAGACATACATGGTCACTTCATCTATGACGAAAACGATACTGCAGTCTTGTCAATAAATACAGAGTCAGTTGGATATCCATATGGGAAAAAAAAATTAATCTTGACCCCTACCTCCCACCATAAGGAAAAAAAAAATTCCAGGGGAGTGAAAGTTCTTAATATAAAAGTAAAACAATAGCACTTCTACAAGATACTATAGTACGACCTTGAGACAGGCAAAGATTTTCTAAATAGAACAATCACTAACTATAAAGGAATAAACAGATACATTTGAGTACATTAAAATCAAAGACTTGTTTATCAGATTCACCATCAGTAAAGTGAAAAAGCAAGCCACGGACCAGGGGGAAGATGTTAGCAATACATACAACCAATGAAAGACTCGTCCAGGTTATATACAGTTTTTATAAAAATCTATTAGAAAAAATAACATAAAAATGATCAAAAGATACTTCAAAAGATACTCCAGTGGCCAGTAAGTATAAAGGTACTCAGCCCATTAGTCATCAAGGCAGTGCAGAGTAAAACCACAGAGGAGCCGTACTGCTGCATACCCACCAGGATGGCTAACGAGACGTGCAACCTTCAGATATTCCTTGTGGAAATGTAAACGGATACAACTACTTTGGAAAACTTTTAAGTATTTACTAAAGCTGATCACATTTACACCCTAGGGCCCAGCAATTCCAAATCCTAGGTGTATGACCAACAGAAATGCATATATATGGGTGCCAAAAGACATGTAGAAGAATGTTTGTAGCAGCACTATCCATAACAGCTAAAAATGGGAAACACTCCATCAGCAGAATAGATAAATACATCATGGAATACACTACACAGTATTGTAAATGAACATGCAGAAAAAGGGGGGGATTTAAATCTCACAAACATGATTGGGGGAACTGGACATAAAAGTAAACAGTGTGATTCCATTTTTATAATAATTTAAAAGGTAAAACTCATCTATGCTGTCAGAAGTCAGGATAGTGGTTGCTTTTGAGGAGGGGGTGGGTGTTGACTGGTTGGAGAGCTGAGGGGCTTTCTGGAGTGCTGTTAATGCTCTGTGTCCTGATACGTATGGCGGTTGCACCATATAGTGATGATTCACAGAGCTTTATACTGAGCACACTTCTCTGTATGAAGGTGTGCGGCAGGCAGCCTCTGAGATGGCCTGTAATTCCAGCCTCCTGGTATTCGTGCCCTTGTGTAATCCCCTCCCCTGGAGTGAGGGCTGGACTTCCTCAATTTTAATGGACAGAAAATGGCAGAAGTGATGGGATGCCATGTCCAAGATTAGGCTACACAGACTGGCTTCCATCTCGGGTGCTCTCTCTCTGCTGGCTCACCTGTGCGAGTCAGCCGCCATGGCGTGAGGTAGTCATGGAGAGGGCCACATGGTGTCCTCAGCCATGTGAGTGAGCTGGGAAGCAGGTCTCCCCTGCACTCCCAGTCAAGTCTTTGGATGAAAGCATAGCCCCAGCCAGCAGCCTGACTGCCACTCATGAGAGACCTGTGCCAGAGGCACCCAGCTAAGCCACGGCGGGACTCCTGACCCACAGAACACTGAAATGATGTTTGTAGTTTTAAGTTGCCAGGTTTAAGGTAATTGGTTATGCAGCAATAGATAAGTGCTTTTTAAAAGTCTGCATACATGCAGCTTCTTGTCAAAAGGTATTTCAAAGCGTATAAATCAGTTTTCAGTTGGTAAAATTGTAAATCGTTTTAAAAGTGGCTTTTGATGTAAGGCCACTTGCAAAGCCACATGCAGTACTGGGTTCTCAGTAGGTTCAGGAGGTGAATTGCTATTCCTTTGTTTTTCAGATTTGTCACTTTGGGTTTGTCTCTGATAATTGATCGTATTTTTTTTGGTCAAGTAAGTAAAAATATATTAAACTATTTTTAATCTAAAATTTATTGCACTAATCCATTAATATTTGGGAATGGATACAAATTATTATTTTTTTAATGGTAGTAAAAGGATACATTAAAAAAATAACTTCTAGGGCATGCCTTTGGTGCAATTTGCTATATTTTCTTTTTTTTTTTTTCTTTAATAATATTTTATTGTGTTTTAGGTGAAAGTTTACACAGCAAATTAGGTTCCCTTTTAACAGTTTTTACACAAATTGTTCCGTGCCATTTGATTTTCTGTATAACATAATTGTATATTCCTTATTGATGCTCAAAAGAGCCTGTTTTAAGGCCAGGAAGCTACATTTTTTTCGGGTTTGTATTAATAAAGTCTAAATTTTTTAATCTTTTTTTTTTTTTTGACTCTTAATCATCCAGAAATCAGTTTAACCAGAATACATCTTCAGTCATTTGGTTTGAGATTTTAATTTCATGACTTTAGGTAATTCCCTTTCTCCCCTTGAACGTCACTCACGGCTCTGGAGACAGACTGCCCCGGCTTGAAGCCGTTTCTTGCCAAGCTGTCCTTACCTGGAAATTACTGTGATGCCTGTCTCATGAGGCTGGTGGACGACTGAATGAGAATAATGCACATAAAAGACCCACAGCAGTGCCTGGCACAGGGGAGCACTCATGCTGCTCTTCCTGCTGCTGCTCCTGTCGTTATGCTCTGCTTTGTGCTGTAACTCACACGGTCATGTTCTCAGAGCTTCGTCTTGACAGGTGATACCATAAGTGCTGGAGTAAAATTTCTGATATGGGTGATACACATAAAAATTGTTTTTAAGGATCCTCTGTCTCTAATTAGATGTAAAACTTACATTGCTAGTTAGCATGAATGTTTATTTTTTGAAGCTCAGAACGTAAGTTTTACAAATTAATAAAGCACATATCAGTAGTCGGCAGAAAAAAATAATACTTAAGAATGTAAATTATTGTCTGGTTTTTAGATTTCATTCTTGAGTTAATGTCAAGATTATGTCAGATTCCTTCATGCCAAAGATGCATACTTGGTACTAATACATTTTTATTTCTTTTTCCTTCAACTCCACCAGTGGACTTTGGTTCAGTTTAATTTTTTGAAATTTAATGTGCTTCAAAATTTGGGAACATTTTATGGTTCTCATCCGTGGCACTGGTACTTCAGTCAAGGATTTCCAGTTATCTTGGGAACTCACTTACCCTTCTTTATTCACGGCTGCTTTCTAGCCCCTAAGAGGTACCGGATACTTTTGGTGACTGTGCTGTGGACAGTGCTTGTTTATAGGTGAGATTTTATTTGTTCGGTAGTTAATTATTAATGCATAAATGTTACCAAGAAAACAAACCGATTAACCTGATTCTTCAACCAGTAAACTGTCTTTTGGAGATAATCATTAACTCTTACAATTTGTTAGTGGAGATTATTTAGCAGACAAAAGTGTTAATTATGCTGGAGCTCATGGTGAATATTTCAGATGTGTATACTTTGTTTACCAAAGATTACACTCAGTTTTTCAGAAACTGAACAGATTTGATTTGCTTCTAAAAAGCAGAAACTGTCAAAGTTCTAACTATTAAAGGACTAACCCTGTTGTCGTCGAGTCAGTTCTGACTCATAATGACCCCACAGGACAGACTAGAACTGCCCCCACAGGGTTTCCAAGGCTGTAAATCTTTAAGGAAGCAGACTGCCACATCTTTCTCCCACAGAGCAGCTGGCAGGTTCAAACTGCCAACCTTTTGGTTAGCAGCTGAGCGCTTAAGCACTGCGCCACCAGGGCTCCAACATTGAAGGACTAGAAAAATACTATTTCAAAATAAAAATACATGCATTTTTATTCTGAATTTAGTGATATTACTTACTTGGATTGGCAATAGAAATCCCTTTTTTTGGAATGTAATTGTACTTTAGAATTTCACATTGATATCAAATGTTATGATTAGTTTTAATACATCATTATCACCTTATAACTAAAAAATAATGAGACTGATTCTGTAGCAAGAAATTCATTCCAAGTATGTAGAAAATAAAGAGATCATGTTAATTATATTTCATTTTAAACACAATAATTTCTCAAACTATCATGTAATACAAGAAAATAATACTATTTTAATATCTTTGTTACAGCATGTTGAGCCACAAAGAATTCAGGTTTATCTATCCAGTTTTACCATTTTGTATGGTGTTCTGTGGTGAGTATTTATGTTTAATATAGAAAAAATACATAGACATAGCTGTTGTTGTTGTTAGGTGCCATTGAGTTGCTACCACCTCATAGCAACCCTACTACGTACAACAGAACGAAACACTGCCTGGTGAATATAGAAACAGCTAAAAGACGATAAATGCTATGGTTTTATGTATGGAAACCCTGTGGGGCAGTTCTCGTCTGTCCTGTCGGGTCATTAGGAGTCGAAATCGACTCGATGAGCAGTTCTCGTCTGTCCTGTCGGGTCATTATGAGTCGGAATCGACTCGACGACAACAGGTTTGGTCCTTTAGTAGTTAAAACTCTGATAGTTTGTTTTTTAAAAGCAAAAAAAAAATCTGTTCAGTTTCTTTAAAATTGAGTGTAATCCTTGGTAAACAAAGTATACATATCTGAATAGCTGAAAGACTCTAAAATATTTATTTTCAAATAGGTTAAATGAGTATTACTTGTTTCTTAATTTCAAATTATATTATTCCAATATCCCTTTTTTGAACTGAATATCCTTTATTCCTGAGTCCTATAAATTGAGAAAAAACATAAGGAACCAATTTCAAAACACCTTTTGGCGGTATTATTTCTGGCTGTAGAAACCTTTTACTAAAAAGTAAAGAAATATGTCTATTTTGGAACAGCTATTTTAAGTTTATGGTTAAACTGTGAGTCTTCATTTTCACAAAGGAAAAATATATTTATGGTGTTGAAACTAGTTTTTAATGCTTTTACACACATAAAACATTTTCCGAGATTCACCCTAATCACATTCAATTTTTAGAGTGATTCCCTTCTCCGATTTTTTTTTTTTTGGGCGAGGGGGCTTTTCTCCATTTTTCCACTAAGCCTTTGCAGTCAGCAGTCACTTTTTCACATGTGACTTCTCAAAGTTCTTCCTTTTACTCAGCTCTGGAAAATCTGAACGTTTTAATGTTAATTTCCACTCATTGGTTTGGAAAGATTATTAACTGAAACTTTATTAACTTTGAGTGTAATTCAGAATAAATAATTACTGGCTTCCTTCAGATATTAAGAGCTAAAAAAATCACTGAGCTGAGGAGGGAGGAAATTAGTAACCAAACAAATGACTGGAGGCGGGAAAATCTCGGGAGTTCCGGGGGTCGGACCTACTTAGGAAAAAAAGTTCCAAACGACAGTTGTCAGGCAGCCTTCTTTGACAAGTCTGCATTAACTCCTACCGTTCCCAGATGTGTGTGTGTGCTGTCTTCAGTCTAGATGGATACACATCTGTGTATTTGAAACACCTAAAGTACTAAAACCAAAGCCTCAATTTGTTATTACTTTACAGTATTACTTATATATAAATGTAGACACAAAAAAAAATATAGGCATCTAACAGCTATCTGGCAAGTCTTATGACTAGGGGGCCCATTTGCAAGTGGAAATCTATTCATAAATCACTACTCAGATTTACAGTGGTTTTGTTTTGTTTTGTTTTCTATAGTATTTTATTGCATTTTTGGTTTTTTGTTGTTTTTTTTTTAACAACCACTTGAATATGAGTTATAGTTAAATCAAGTCTAAATCAAGATTAAGGATTACCAGAGTACTGGAGAACAAGTAGTAGTGTGTGTGTGTTTTGGTTTGGTTAATTTAGGAACTTGGTTGGGTTTCCATTCTTGTAATCTGGGTTTTTCCAGCATTCTCTGTGCCCTGTTCTTTACAAGGTGTTTCTGAGAAGTACTTAGTTGTCTGAATCCCCATTCCCATTCCCAAAGATTGTGCCTTTAGGTGTCATGATCTCTGTAGCCAAGGCCTCTTCCCAGTCCCAAAGACTGAGATAAAATGCTGGTGAGGAGTGAAGAGATCCCCCCTCTAATGGACAGTATCAATCTTCCTTCTATCCCTAGTGTTGACAGAGAAGGATCCCTCAAGGACCCAGACCTAGCAATACTCCTGATCTTCCAGGATGTGATCTTTTCCTCCAGACACATAGACCTAACGTTCTTGAGTGAGCCAAAAGAATCTGATTCCTAAGAGATTTGTACTTCCAGTAAGACTCAGATATCTTTAATGTCAAGAAGATCCAACAATAGGGCCAATTAAGTAGTGAGCTCCCCTAAATAGATGTCTCTGGACGGTCAAGAACATTGTCAGACAACTTTGAGTTCCTGATAGTTTAAATGGCCCAGTTTGAGTCTTTCCTAATTACCTGAAATCTTGAGTTATATTGTACCTCCAATCGCAGCCTTATTCTCTTCTTGTGTGACCTGTTTTAACCTGGTATTCTGTAAACAATTTTATCGGCAACTGCTGTGTAACAAACCACGTCAAAACTTACTGGCTTAAAACTGCAACCATTTACTACTTAGAAGCCTACAGTTCAGCTAGGCAGTTGTTCTGATCTCCGCCAAGCTCACTTATGAAATGTGGGCAGCTGCAGGCCGGGCTATCACATGCTCGGGGTTCACCTAGCTGTAGACGGAAGCACTTCAGCTCTCCTGCGTGCTGTCCTGTCCTCCAGCAGGTTAGCTGGGGCTTGTTCACTTGGTGTAGGCAGGGTTCCGAGAGGCACAGGAGTGCGTAAGGCCCCTCAAACACATGCTTGGAGCTGGCACACTCTCACTCCGCCACATTCGTTTGGTCAAAGCAAGTCACAAGGCCAAGCCAGATTCAAGAAGCAGGGAAATAAACCTCGTCCTCTTGATGGTAGTGGACACAGGAAGAAGAATCATCACAGCACTTTTTCAGTCCTAGGTCTAGAAAACACTTCCTGCAGTTGCCGCTGACCCTCAGTGAACTGTCTGACCTGGGTGCCGTAGCTTCCTGATGTGTGAGAGAAGCTGCTGTTGGTGGAGGACACCGAACATCTTAGATCAAACCCGTCTTTTCTGCTGTTCCCAGCACCTGCTGCAACACTGGGCTGGATGTCTGCTTCATCTGTTTTCACCACAGTGGCCCATGCGGACTTGTCTCTGATCGGGCCACTTTCTTTTTACATATTCGAATCCTTTTATCAAAATGGCACATGCACACTGTTTGAAAAATCATTCCATAAGGAGTTTAAAAAAAAAAAAGTCCCTTGCCCTCCCTTCTCACCTCCCCTCCCAGAGGTAATCACTTTCACCAGTTTTAGGTAGCTTTGGTGTTTATCTCCATACTTCTAAGTAAAATGCTTATAATGCCACTTACAGATCTTCGTTTTGGGCATTATCTGCTGGCTTCTCACTATGGAAGATGAAAATAGAGCTTCATCTCCTTAGAAAGTAGCAAAATAAAACCCTTCCCTGACACCTCCGTCTGCCTGTGCCCAGTGCCCTCCTTAAGGTTCTTACAGTCCTGTCTCACTCTTCCCCAGTCCTGTTCGCCACTGTCCCATTCTGGAACTGAACCACCTTTTGTTTTTCTCAATAAACACACAAACTAAGCTGACCTAATAGCTTTTCTAAGAAGTCTTTTAAGATGAAAAGATTAACTGAGATATATTTCTAATTGGTACAAAGTAGTAGAGATCTTTAACATTGGGTTTTCTGATAATTCTTGCCAAACAAGGATGCATCCTGCTACTTCTCAGTAAGTCTGACACAATCAGTGATGTACAGCCTCACACTTTCCCATCCTTTCTACCACCTTGAGCCTCACCTTGGTAAGAAGGGACTCATCACTCAATGATGGAGAAAACATTATCACCACACTAAATAGCCGAAACCCAAATAATGTTACAGTGGAACTTGTTTGAGCTGGAACTTGGCGGGACTGCCTTGTTTTTCCAGGTCTCACAAGTTTTCCACCTTTGAGAGGGTGCAGTCTTGCCACTTTTCTATCGTTTGTTTTAGTGGAAAATATTTGGCTTTTCCTTGTCTGACAGGTTTCCGCCTTACGCAGTTCCACTTTTCAGAGGTTTTACTGTATATGATTCTTAGGCAATAAGACTGAGTAAAGAAAGATGGAGCCAACCCATGAAAGGCCTTCTTCTATACTCAAGTTTTTAGATTTTATTTTGGAGAATAATCCACTCGGACGTAATGGGTTTAAAACACTTTTTAATGGTAGTCTGATGAGAGCGATTTGATAAGAACCCAGCACATTTTTTTAATTTTATTGTAGAAGTAACAAATGCTCATGATACCAAAACCTAAGTGTGTCATCCTCTGATCATACGGCCCCACCGCCCAGAGGTAACTGCTGTTAATACTTTCTTACGCAGTTCTTCCAGAAATTTTCTATGTACTCACTTCTTAAGTGTCTTTTCGTAGGCCCAGAAAACAGGAGCAGGTTAAGTATCCTAGGCTGTTATTTACCGTTGAGTTGGCAGGAGTCACTGAAATGACAACTAGTCGGCAGAGCTCATACGGAGTCCTTGTCCTTGTGGAACCCCGAGGGATGCGCTATGGTCTCCACAAGTGTTTGTGGTCCCAGCATTTTCAGTGATGGCGATGGGAGTGTCTCACATTAGGCAATGGTTACGTTACGTTCGTGATAGGAGCTATCACTTTCCAAAGCCAGTTCATTTTAGGTGGATCGGGAAGATCTGCATCTCCGTATTACTTGGAGGTACAGTTAAGTACTTACTGGATGACAGCTATTGCAATTACGCTGATTACCTCTCTTAAATACTGGAGGAACAGTTCCACCTCCCCAGGAAAAACCCAGATCCTTGGCTTCTCTTGGTGGCTCACTCAGTCTAGCAGTGGAACTGCAATCTTTCCAGCTCTGGCTTTAGCAGTTTCAGTTTCTGAAACTTTCCAGTGTCTGATGGTTTGAACACTCTGAGGCTTTACATTTTGGTTCCTGACTGGTATGACTCAGTGTTGGAGAATCAGAGTTTGAATGGAAGTGATGATGTCTCCACTGTCCCTTGGACAAATGAGTGACCACCTGACTCCCCCTGAGCAGTGCTCAACAGTTCCTTCTCAGAGTTTTCTCTGTATTACTTCCAAATAACAGAGATGCGGTTCTCACTGAAATGATCCACCCTAAAATGAGCTGGCTTTAGAATGTCACACTCACCACTACGTAAGTAATGTGCTGTTACCAAGCTGAACAGGAGAACCTCCTCCTCCAGGTACTGAAGGTGCTAGAACAGACGCATTTTCTATCAGCATTCACCACCAGGCATTCCAGTTTTGTATTAATCACCCACACCATTGGACCCCAGTGCCATAGTTTCTGAGGTAGCTTTCAGTGACCACTTAGTGAATGAATAAATGGCTAATGAGTAAACCACTTTATAGATGCCCACCTTATACTTAACTGAATATTGTTAACAGCAAGCCGTGGTCTTCTAGAGCCTTGCCAGGGTAAGCTTAATGTAGTTCTTAGTAACTGGAACCCACCAGGATAGATTTAGTTTTTGTCCGTCAATCCAAGGAAGCACTTCAAGTTGTATTTGCTGGTCTGTTGTATCTGTGACTGGAGTTGCTATTACAGATGGCAGAACTTTTGGCATCCTACTTCATTTCTAATAAAACTAATTCTAATTCTCATCTTCTTCATAGGGTCCTCATTTTACCATTTCACTGTGGATTTAAGTTTTAAATGATAGCTTAGTTTTCTTGATTTGAGTATGTTTTTTCCATCATACCACCTTTCAGAATGTTCTTTGGTTAATCAGAGCTATTTTAAGTGGATTAACAGTACCAGGTGAGATGGATGTGTGAAATCCCAATTACAGAATGGAATGAACTGTGGGTAATGTAATCTAAAATATTCACAGAGGGGGAAAAATTGAACATCTAAGAAAGATTCTTGCCTAAATTTGATTTCAGCTATCAAACAGAAGCTGTCAGATGTCTTAAAATGGATGAAATGATTGTTTTCAGTCCTAATAATCATATTATTTAGGTTTTGGATATTTAGTGTGGCATTTTGTATTCTCCATCGATAACTGATAAGTCCCTTCTGTTTTTCATTTTATACCCTTCTGTTTGTTCTACTTTGTTTTTCTTGGCCTCACCTAAATACTTTTACAAATGAAAAACGAAAAATTGTTCAGCATCTCCAAAGTGCCCAAAAGTATAATGAAAGAAAAAACATAAGATATTAGTACCTTTTCTTCCAGAAAGAGAGAGATCTATGGTACCACTCATGCACTGACCACTGAAAATCTCCCAGAAGCCCAATGGCATATTTTTCTAAGAGGACACTCTATAAGACCTGCATGCACACACCACAGTATCTATGCTAGCACTTGGGAGATTAAAAGAGAGACGAGGTAGGGACGTGGAATAAACAGAGGTCCTGTTTATTGAGCGACTGTTATGTACCAGGATAGGCACTGGACATACATTTTTCTAATACTTGGAAAAAGTACTGTTTTCCCATTTGCCGATGGGGAAACTAATGCTTATCAGAGTAAAGTAGCTTGTGCCAGAGCTGGAATTCAGACTTGGGTCTGTTGGACTCCACAGCTATGTTCTTTCCACTATATGTCAATGTCTTTTTCTAGAAAAAAGGTAAGACCTGGATGACGATGGATAAAGATAGTGAATGGTCAGGGAAATTATGAAGATGACTTACTATTTTTTGTTTGCCCAAGACAACGTTACAGCTTGTGGTATCATAAAAAATTAAAATGTATTTGCAGTTAACAGTACTTAACTGTAAGAAACAAGGACTGCCAGTCTCACAGCTCCATGTGTGCGTCTCCACCTAGGACACTCACTGAACCACCTGAAGGTGTGGAAGAAACCAGCTGGAAGTTTCCTGTTTTTATCAAACATGCTCCTCGCCCTCTACACGGGGCTAGTTCACCAGCGAGGTACCCTTGATGTCATGAGTCACATTCAAGAACTCTGTTCCAACAGTCATAATACATCATCTTCAGCGTCAGTATTTTTAATGATGCCTTGCCACTCGACTCCTTATTACAGGTAATCACAGTTGAGACAGTGAAACTGACCACTTAGAAATTCCTTTTTAAATTCTTGGGTTTAAATTAATTGATCACTGATCAGATGATTACAGGAAATCTGAAACTCTCACTTCTACTTATTCATTGATAGATTTTAAAAATCATTTTAATTGTGTCAATGGAAATTACGTACCACTTTTAAATAAACTAATATTCTTATTTTTGTTAAACAGACCACACTTAAATGAATCTGACTTAAATGTGGGATGAGTCATTTTATAGGCATTTAATAGTTTTCTTAGTAAAGAAATTCAGTCAGCGCTGATGTTACTACAAATCATTTTGATAATACATCTTGTATGTACACTATTTTGGATTAATCTCAAAGCACTGAATTCTAGTCCACATTTACTATGAGGCTGTCGCCCTGGCCTTGACCTAGTCTTTTAATTTCTTTGAACATCATCTGTTGTCTTACCTATAAAATCAGGGAATGGAATTAGATGGTGTTTTAATGTTTGAATTGTTTCTGAAAAATGTAAAATATTCAGACTGCCTCAGCCATGGAGGGCATTTATAGACACCCACCTGGCCCTGTGCTTTTATTTCAGAAAGCTGTATTAATTACCATTTGTCTGATGATGGTATAGGGACAATGCAGCCAACTTCCCTACAAAAAGTTCTAGACCTCTTTAACTCAATCTGGCTTTAAACAATCTGTTAAGTTTCCGTGTGTGCACACTGAAGCATTCGACTTAATCATCAACATGGATATAATTTTGACATCCATCTCTCTCTCCACGCTCATGCTAGTGGCAACACCGCAGAGAAGAGCGTTCTAGAGGCACCAAGAGGTTGTCCAGGTGTGGTTGTGGTGGTTGATGGCTCAGGCTTTGTATAGTTGGCCAACTTCTTTCCCATCTTACTCTCAAGCGCACAGTGGAGGAAAACACGTCTGATCCCTACTCTGGAGCAGGACCGACATCTCCAAAACAGCTAGAAAAGTCATGACATTGCTGGGTCTTGTGTAAATCTACTTTGAATTTCATCGATAAAAGAAACTGCCACTGCATAATTATTTAATCTTATTTCTAACTGGACATCGTAACTCTGTATGAAGTGAGGTTTAATCTTCCCTGAGGCAGTTGTAAACATGGCTTTTTGCATGGCCCAAATAACTCAGTTAAATTTGTCATGATTGGTATTAGAGAAGAATCTTTTCAGAGACACACTAGTCTTTCCATGCCACAGCAAAACCATTCCTTATTTAAATGTTGATCAGTGAGCATGTGCTGCTCTCTATATCTTATGCATAAGGTTAAATAACAAAACAGAAAAGAACTTGTCATTTAAGGATGGAATCCGCCCCCTTCCTGGTCCATGACCAGTTTTCTACCTTTGCCCTACAGGCCTGTGGAGAATTACCCTTTTACACAGGCAGTCCCCAGGCTACCAGCGTCCAACTTACAGACAACTCATACTTGCCTTTAATGTGACAGAAATTTGCCCTCACTTTGAAAACAACTGAACCAACCCCTACTTGCAACAAATTCTTCATCACAAATCACCTTCACTTGCTGTACGTACAGCTTTTAAATCACTGAAAAAGCTTCGAGTCTTTTCTTGCACTAAAGTAAGGCTAAATAAGAACTGTATGCCCCTGTTCCAACTACCTACATATTCGACTTAAAGACACATTTAGGAACAGATCTTGTTCGTAGCCCCGGGACTGCCGGTATTAACAAGTAACTTACCTGATTCCTGGGGCCCTTTAATCCTGGAACAGCTTACTAATGCTAGAGAATCTGAGCCCCAACTCTGGTGGCTGACCTAGCTCCCACCTGAGAAGGGAGCTTCCTGAGTCAGCGTGCACTTGCAGGTCATGGGGGGATGCTGCTGCCGCACAGCTCCCTGGTGTGGGTCATGTGCTCCACCTCTGAGAACACTGCATTAACTGGAACCTGGTTTACAGATTCAGACTTCACATTCTCTTATACCAACAGGAAATGTCTTGACAGTGATCTGAATACTTTCTTTTCATAGCCATGTTCACTGCCCACTTCCAATGCGATTTCTCCAGTGTCCCCCAGACCTGACTGGAAAAAGTCATTATCTTGATGAAGCAGATGTATTTTACCTAAATCCCTTAAACTGGCTATATAAAGAGTTTCACAGTGATTCGTCATTGCCTACTCACTTGATCATCTTTAGTGTTTTGCAGGAGGTAAGTGAACAGGAGAAACTATTTCACCTCAGGTTTAGCAAACACTCAGGTAAACAAGACAACCACCTTTTTATGGTCCCTTTCAAACTCGCTATTTTATAATTGTCTTCTCCCCTGTCAAAATCAGCCCCAGTGCTCTATCAAGGGATGTCACCTACCATAAGTTAACACTTCTATTAAGATAGTTCATTAAGAAAACAGTTCTAGAGAAATCAGAATAGGCAAGTCTAAAATGCTTTTAAACAGTACTCGGTTAAAATGTAGCCTTATTTACTTAAACATTTTTTACTTTTAGGAAATAAATGCTTTCCTCATTTCAAACAACTATGAGAGGACTGCTGTAATCTTCCACACTCACCTGCCAGAAGGTCGGACTGGAAGTCACATATACATCTATGAGCGGAAATTAAAAGGAAGACTCAGCAGCTGAAATTCTGAACTGTGCTTAGATCTTTCCCAGAGAAACTGACGTTGCTGGGTGGAAATATTCAGATGTTACTTAGATACTTCAGTAAACACTGGGCAAGATTCATGGAACTAACACAAAACCACTGTGAACAGCTTTACCAAATAGCACTACCTAGGAAATGTACACAATGTCACAAAGTATAAAATCACAACGCCAGATTGTAAATAAAGACCTTTAGTTTTCCTCATGGTGCAGTTTTATTGTTTCTTCCACAGTATTCAGATGTGCAAGAAATTTCACAAGAGAGTAAGCCAGCAAGCTCGTAAGAAGGCAGCAAATTCTTCACAAGTCAGTGGGACTCTTGAACCCACAAAAGACAAGCAGCAAGATTACAAAATACTAAAGATGAAATTCCATCACAATGTACTTTCTTCAAGCTCTACTGCAAACTTGACGCAAGTATCACTGTTCATTACACTCTCATGTGTGATCTGAGCTTGCTTTAAGCTCATACACTACAAGGAAGTCTCACTTCATGCACAAAATCTGTTGCATGCCTGGCTTCCTTTACAAGAAAACTAGAGCGGAACATTTCCAGTGCCCAAAAAATTCAGCAAAGCTAAAACTACAGGAAAGTGCAGGTTAGTAAGCTTTTGATTGATGTTTCTGAGTAACAGTATAAAGTCATCAAACTGATACTTAGAAATGAAAAAAAGACATTGTTATCTTGGTAATTTCATCTTAGCTTCAACACCGAACACGGTAGAAAACATCCATGTTTCTCTTACAGTTTTTAGTTAACAATCATGATGGTCAATATTTAGGATCAAAAGGAAACTGCCCCAATTCTATTTCCAGATGTGCCATGTGTCTTCCATTGGTGCGACCATGCTTATGCCATTTACCTTCCCTTTTATGAGGCTGTGGCTGAGGGTACTTCTGCTCTTGTTTTCGATGCCTGGAGTTTTCAATATTTACCGTACGTTGCTTTTTATCAGGTCGACTGAAAGCAGTAAACACATTTTTTCATCTATGTTAGAGTTCGATTTATTTAAATTAGAAACAAGTTCAATGTTTTTCTCCATTAATTTACTGTCTGAACACTGAAAAAAAAAAACGTTAGTCTGAACTAACCCTAATGTATGTAAACAAAAAAACAATGATTCAGTGAGCAGTAACGTCAACCTATGGAAATCAAAAAGTAGACAAATCAGTAGTGGCAAAAAGCCAAAACGTTCAACAGGTAATAGAAAATGTGACAATAAAATAATGAGATGTGTTTCCTTTTATTTTTCTTCCTTTCTGTAAAAATCAATGCGTCTCCATTGGCTTCACCCCTCAGCGGAAGTATGTACACACTGCCTCTTAGAAAAGCTTCTAGCTAACTTTTCTCACATCTACGGTTCCTAAGCAGTGTCTGCATTCACTGCTTTCCTCCATCTCTATATAATCAGACTTCTGTCACCACGTCACTGAAAGAGTTCACACTGCCATCCGTGGCCACCCAATTCCCAAGCCAAGAAATATTTTTCGGTCTTTTTATTTTTTTTTAAAAGCATTCAGCATATTTGAACATTCCTTTTTCTTGAGATGATCTTCGTATTTTCAGGTCACTCTGTCTGGTCTTATCCTCCTCAGCCTCCTCTACAGCCCCACAGATGTTGGTGTTCCTCAAGAGCCTGACAGGTATCTCCAGCCCAGATGATGTGCCTGCAATGAGAGTTCTACAGCCACACAACTCACAGCCAACTAATCCTTCTCCACTTGTCAACAGGCACCTCCGGCCTTGGGTGGCACAAACGGTTAAGCATTGGGCTACTAACCAAAAGGCTGGCAGCTCGAACCTACCCAGAGGCACTTCAGAAAAATGGCCTGGTGATCTGCTTCCAAAAGGTCAGTCATGAAAACTATGGAGCACGGTTCTACTCTGACACACACGAGGTCACTCACTATGAGTCGGAGTTGACTCAACTGGAACTGGAAGGCACCTCTAAGCATAATTTTCATCTCTGATTCCCCAGTTCAAAACCTTTTCTGGTGTTCTCTATCTTGGTGATGGTATCATTATCCAACTAGTGATCCAACCCAGAAATCTGGAAGTCATGGTCCCTTTCTACTTTCACAACAAATACCACCACTTATACTATCTATTGTTCAACTCTGTCTCACCCTTTCACCCCACTACTATTATCCTAGCTCATATACTAAGCTCATGTCTGCACTGTTTCAAAGACCTCGTTTTCTACCTTCACCCCTTTCCAATCCATCCTCCAGGCTGCTGCCAGTGACCTAAAATCTTAATTCTACCCCACCTCAAAACTCTTCAGAGGTTCTCCATATCCTGCAGGACAAATCCTCTAATACAGAACGAGCCCCTTCTTGACCTAATTCATCTGTCCATCCCTCAGCACTACCCTGCTCCTTGGTGTGGCGTGTCTTCACATCTCCCAATCTCTGCAAATACAGTTCCCTTTGAGTCGAATACTCTCCCCTAATAAGCTTGGCAAGTTTGCACTTCTCCTTCAAAAGTTAGTTTTTACAATTTCAGCTCAAAGACTAACTACATCACTCACTCAAGCATCTCCGGACAGACTAAGGCCATCGACACATACCTCCGCACCTTCGTTTCCTCTCTTACAGGGTCTTAGCTGTTGGCCTAACTCTCCACTAGCTTGGGGGCTCCTTCACAACAAGAACCTTCATGTTTCCTCAGGGCATCCTCACGGTGCTTTGCTTGCTACAGGCACAAGACAGTTAATGACTGAAGATGCCAGAATCAGTCTCATTATTTTATAGACACATTTATTCAAAAAGATAAGTTTTATGTTACAGAATAAAGCTGATAAGCAATGGATAAAAAGTTATTTCTAAAAGTTCTGTATCAGAAGCACACACGTTAGAACGTCTGGCTGGCCAGGTCTGCCCTCTTGTATCGTGCGTCTCACTTTATCAACAATAATTCTGTAATAAGTGTATAAAATGCCACAATTAAGCTGGTAAATAGAACGCACAAATGAAAATAGGTGAGATATTAGAACTGTTATATACGAGCTCTTCTGAATCCAAAGTAAAACTGGTGTTCACTCCAGGTGAGTATATAAATAAAAGCGTAAATAAAAATAATTTCACTTAAGGTGATTATCTTATCATATATAGTATACGAGAAAGAAAATAGGCTAAAAGAGAATTCAATATATATACATATTCTCAACTGATTTTTTAAGGTAAGAAAGCATTTGCTCTAGTCAAACTGATTGTTATATGAAATTTTAAGTTTGTAATAGCTGTAATTTAAAAAAATTTCATCTCTTGCTTTTTTAATTTTTTTCTAAATTCTCAGTGGCAATAAAGTATGCCTTTTACAAATAGTAACCTTTCAAGACACTTTATCAAATGATAAACATCTATCCAAACTGTAGATGTCAGAAACTATTATGATAACACGGTGCTATGTAAACCGACCTGGGTCCATATGGAGGGGAAAAAGTGTCACCAAGGAAGTGTCTGTAAATATATCCATCCAGATTCTCAAACGCTCCATCATCATCTACCTGATACTCCTTCATGGCTTTCAGATAGTCTTTAACATCACTAACGAAGTCGATGAAGAGCTTCCGGTCGTGTATGAAGACGCCATTCAGGAAAAACTGACTGATGAACTGATCAAGTTCCTTCCAGTGATGGAAACCATCCAGCTCTTTTAATAAGTATCTTTGTATTAACTGTCTAAATTCGTCTATCCTTACAGGATTCAACACTACATTAAAAAGACTAATGGATTCCTGTCGTGCACAGTCAAATACATCAGAACAACCCTTTCTCACAGAATGATAATTTTCACTACAGTCATGCTCAGCACTGCATCTCTGTGAGTTCGTGTGTTTTCCAGAGTGAATGGGCTTTTCCCTCCTTCCCGCTCTCTGCCCAGTGGGGCCTCTACTATTCCGGTTTTGTGTGGTTGCCTTATACTGTGGATGTAAATACTCGCGATAAACTGTTCCTGATTTTTTAGCTGCCTCTTCTTTTGGAGCACCAAATCTTTTATTCCCCTTTTCATCAAAGATATTCTTGGTGGTATCTTTGAAATGTCTGAAAGTAGATTTAACTGAATCTGAGAATTTTTTCAGATTTTCTTTCACAGCTTCTTTAGCCTGTTTGATTTTTTCTTTATGATGCCTGACAAACTCCTTGGTTGAATTCTTCATTGCATCAAATGTTTCCTTAACTGAACCCAGAAAGGTTTCCTTCGACTTAGTTTTAGCCCTGTGGCTTCCTCTGCCGCCTTTCTTTCTTCCATCGGTTTCTTGCTTTCCAGTTTGGTCCTTTGCCTCAACATACAGTCTTTCCCACAGATCAGAACGCTGCTGTTCAAAGGTCAGCTTCTGCTCCAGCGCACTAAGTCTTCCCCGTAAGGCTTCTATTTCCCTTTTTTCAGTCAATACATTGGGAGAGTCTGGGTTGCCATATGACTGACTACTGCCTAACTGCTGGACTTCCGCTCTTAGGGCCGCGGTTAACAGTCGCTCTCTGTCCAGTTCCTTCTTCAGCATCTTTGCTTCTGCCAGGAAAGTCTCCCTTTGACTGAGAGCGCTGTGTGTCTTCTTCTGTTCCTCTTCCAAATGCTGCCTAAGTCTCTGGTTTTCTGTAACTAATTCAGTACTTGTTCCTTTATCTTCCAGCACCCGAATCTGTTCTCGTAGTTTTCTCAACTCTTCCTGTAATGAACGCAAGGCTTTTTCTTCTTTCTCTAGAGATAGCCTTAAATACTGATTTTCTGTAGCGAGGTTCTTTTTCTGAGTTTCAAAGGACATTTTCTCTGCTTCAGTAAGGGTCCAACACCTTGCAAGGTTTTTCTTCAATGACTATTTTGAAAGGGAAGAAAGAAAAATGTCAAGTGCTTTAAAAGCTAAATTTAAATCTTTAAGATATAGAAAACACCCCCGTGAACTTTATTTCTGGAAAAGCTATCCTTTGGGTAGTATTTTCAATAGTACAAAAATGGGAAAATACAAGGATCATATGCGAGAAGATGCACAGTGGAGAGCCATGTCACGCTAAGAACAAGAACATGGTGGAAAAATTAAAGAAGGGAAAAGTTAGCCAGAGCTGGGTTTAGCCGTAAGAGGATTTTTTTTTAAGAGATCATAGGAAATCTTTACTGGTTTGGGAGCCCGTTTACATGTTTGGAGAAAAGAGTACAGTGCTTTTATCTTTTGACTACTGGACTCAATCTCTCCTGAGGAGGCTTCTGGAGAATTTAGGCAAGACTAAAGGCTTCTCTGGGTGGGGGAGACTATCTTGTATAAAAATTAAAAATACAGCTAGAGCTGACTTCAGGCTTCAAAAAACTCTGTTGGTAATCACTGTACCCTTTGAAGAAACATTTCAATAATCTTAGTCCTACGCAAGTTAACATTTCTAGGGTAAGGAGAGGTAAGTTGTACAAGGGTCTACGAGAGCTTTAGTAGACAGACTGAATCTTGGTAACATAACTAATTTCCCCAATTTCAAACAAACTTCTGAAGTGACTAACTCAGATTACCCGTGTAACTCTGAAACCATCACCCCAGACAGAAGTCATGTTCAATCAGGTTTATAGAATTTTACCGCAGTTCAAAGTAGCCTTGACTGACTTGATTTTTCTTTTTCAGCGGGCATTAGTAACAAGCATTAACCAAAACCAGCAGAAAATTAAACAATATGCTTCAACAGGTTAGTGTGACACCAATATAAATATGTGGATATAACATTATCTAGTCAGTTAAACTATCTTAGCATGTCAATCTGCAAAATGATACTTAAATTTGGCTTAATTTATCAGACATTATGGTGATCCCACTTGAATCAGACCAGACCAGCAATATATCTAATTACAAAAACAAGCCGGAAAAAAAAAAAGTCCTTTGAAAAATAACCATCTGAAATGGCTGTTTCACTGTCTCATTAATCTTCAGAGAACAAATTAAAACTTCATTATAGTCATTTCATCTCCTCTCCCTACGTGAGAGGAAACGACAGTTTCATCTACCCAACAGCAGTGGACCGTCGAGCGGAACAGGCTGATGTAGCATCACCGTTAAATGCATACGCACAGGCAGGCCACAGAGTAACTGCCAAGTACAACACTCCTCATCAGATAAACTCAGTAACCTTGAAGTGACTGTTAGCAGGTGCTGAGCAGTTCTTCCAGGGAGATCTTCAACATCTGAACTACACCTGACAGCTAGAGACAAGAGCTCTCCAAAAACTAACTCCGTAGAGACTTATGCACGGAGAGTCTCCTACAAGGCAGTACCATCCTATGGAACCAAAAACCATGGTGGAGAAAAAGAGAACAGCTACTCTTTTTATAGCATCCTGTGATCCAGATGGAGACACAGCAACTACTTACAATTCACTTCAGCAGTACCTTCCTGAAAGAAATACTTTAGATGTCAAATGGGATTCATACATAAATGGTGAAGGAGATTTGGAGGAATGGAGGGAAAAGAAACAGCTTACTTCTCTACCATGAATTTTTCAACAATCTCTATAATGTTCCTAGGGAAGAACTAGATAAGACCAGCTCTTTTCTGGCCCTTGTAAACCCATAAAGGTGCTGGGCAACTGGACAGAATGGATAGAGCCCTGCTGAAGCTAGATTGGTTTAGGTGGGAAAGCGCAAGATGCCCCCTTTCCATCAGAACTAACGAGACCAGAGCAAAGGGACTGACTAACTCTTCTCCTGGCCCAGGGAAGACCTCGGAGAAGCTATAAAGCCACACTCTCCTCTTTTCCTCCCACTGACCGAAAATATTTTGCTCAGCTCTGTAAAAATAATATTAATTATAATGCAGCATAGTGGTTAGGAATAAGGGCTTTGGAGTTAGATACTTGCAATCAAACCTAGCTCTTGCCAGGTGCCAATCTTGGGGGAAATTACTTACCCTTTCTCATCTATAAAAGAAAGTCAATACCTGCTTACTTCACAGTATTGTGAGGAGAAATAAGAGAAACAGAATGTATGATGCACTCGTGACACCAACGATCAAAACCAACCAAACCCGCTGCCGTCGAGGCGATTCTGGCTCAGTAATTACCAACAGGATTGCCGACTTACTCATCTGCACTGCACCTGCATCTACAGTCATCCCTCGGTATCATCATGTCTTTGTATTTGTTGGTTGTATGTACCTTATAGTCTGTGAGAGACTCCTGTTCCTGCTGACATGGAGAGAGAGAATCCTTCACATCATTCAGTTCATCTTCCTGCAGCTTTCTGACCAACTGCTGATGCTTCTGAACCTGGATGGTGCCTAAAATGAACCATTTCATCAGGGGTGGATCACATAAACATTATCAATACCAGTGTTCTAAAAGATACAATAAAACATCTAATCGGCATGCAATTTAAATACTTAATTCAGACAGGATCCTTTCTTCAAAGGATCAGTATTTCACCGTTCTGTAATAATTCCATTTATAGAATAAATAAGTGAAACTCACGGCATCATTCACATGGTGGTGTTAATCATAATGTAAATCGAGCACATTTAAGCAGTTCACTATCCTTTTGATTAAAACAAAGAAGCCACCCACATTACCCTAACCAAGAAAACAATTCTATCGTAATGTTTTTATCCTACTGTGCCTGATGAGTACCTATTAAGGGCACTTTAGGTTTCCTCTGGGGTGGGGGGGCGATCTCTGAAGTAAGTGTTTAATCCTCTCTTCCACAGAGAAACGAACCATGATGTCTATTCACAGGTTAGAGTCAATAAGGAAAAATGAAAATGAACTTTCTTCTCACTGTATTTTGCCTGAATGACAGACATTTTCCCACACAAGTCCAAAAAAGTACAGCAGGGAAAATAACTGGCTGAGTGTAATTATTCACCATTCTCAAAGCCAAGATCTTTATGAATTCTGCAATGGTTAGATCTGTATTTGTAACATGCTTTAAATTTCAAGTCATGCTTCACACACGCCAGCCAGGTTGATACAGCACTTCCTGTTAACCTAAACAGAAGTCTCGCTGGAAGTACAGCTCGAATGGCTACCTCCTGCTCTGACCACCAGCTAACTTCCCGCCACTCTGGGCCAACCTGGGCTAAGTGGTCGAGAGTGCCACGCATCCTCTATGATTCCATAGAAAGACATCAAAACTGGCGTACACCTGCCTCTATCCCAGCAGTGATAAAGGAATCCAAAACCAACGAGGGTTCTCTGTATTTTCACCCTAAAAATCAAAATGCTAATTTGCCAAGACATGCTGCTCACATGCCACTACATGCTTCATGCACAAGCGTTAAAAAAAAAAAAACCACTAATGAAAAAGGCAAAATGCATTCGGCAACCTCCCACCTGCTGAGCTGCGCACCACTATGTAAAGGCATCGCAGAATTTTGCAACAGAAGGACGTGACAGCTTATGATTTCTTCCCTTACTGCTAAGTTGTTTGTTTAAAAACTTCTTCAGTACCTCCTGAAGTCAGAATTAACTTTTCAATTTTCTCACTTATAAAAGCATAGGAAACTTTGTGCTTCTGACATTTTCATACCAAAGTTGTAAGAATTACTCAAAAAAAAACCTCAAATGTTTAAATAATAGTTCCCAGAGTAACAGAAAACTTCTATTTCAAACCACCTACTCGAAAATAACCTAAAACTATGTGTTCACGTTTGAATTCAAGGAACTGTAATATATGCCTGATGACTGTCTTAAGGTGACTTTTTCATGCATTTTCAACCACCTAACTGTAGTGTTACAAATTGAACTGTTTCCCCTCAAAAGATATACTGAAATCCTAACTCCTGTATCTGTGAAGGTGACTCTGTTTAGGGCAACAGGGCTTTTCTTTGATGTTTTCAGCTGAGTTAACAAGGTCACACCAGAGTAAGGCAGGTCCTGATCCCTTCTGGGTGGTGTCTTATCAAATATACCCACAAAGTCTGCCCATGGCTACCAGAAGCTGAGACAAGAAAGGATCTTCCCCAGAGCAGACAGAGAGCAGAGTCCAGCTGATGCCCTTAATTCCCCTTAATTCCGGCTTCTAGCCTCCAGAACTCTGAGAAAACAGACTTCTGTTCTTCAAAGCCGCCCACCTGGCAGCATTTTGTTCTAGCAGCTCGAGGAAACAAAGATGATCCAAAGCTCAACCCTGGGCCTTCTGGTCCTGTCTACAAACTGCCTGATCTCATCACAGCTTCTGCTATCTCTTCTAAAACTGCTCATCCATAATATCCACCTCAGCAGAGCATCTAGTCACTACATACAGCTTCTGAAAATCAAAATTCAGCTCCTGCCCTAAACCAGTAGAAGATGGGTAGAAACAAATCAAACTGAGCTTACTACATAAGACCTATGGCCGTTAACCAAAAGGTCGGCAGTTCAAATCCACCAGCCCGGCTGCTCCTTAGAAACCGTATGGGGCAGTTCTACTCTGACCTACAGGATCGCTATGAGTCGGAATCAACTCGATGGCAAAGGGTCTAGTAAAACCCTACCCCAATATCTCCCCCAACTCCAAAAGTAAAGCAGCTAGCACGCTGCCTGGAATTAATAAACAAACCACTAATATCCTAAGTATTCAGGCTCAAAGTCCTGTTTTCCTTCATTCCTTCAATGTCCCGTATTTCAAACTTCACTCCGTTTCCACTGTCACTATAGTTGCTGAGGCCCTCGTCACCAAATATCTGGATTATAAAACCTCCTAGCTGACTCTTCTAGTTTTCCCATACCACTTACCTTTCCATTTTTCCCTCACTTTTCCTGTAAAAATCAAACGCTCCCAACCAGATTCCAAGACGTTTTACAATATAACAACATCCCACCTGTTCTAACCTTATATTCTAGTTTCTAAACACTCATTCTGCTGTAGCCCCGCCAGTCTTTTCACTGTCCCCAAACCCAGCAAGCTGACTTCCTCCTTAGGTTAGCAAGTTCTCCGTTGCTCGAATGTTCCACTTTCCCTTCTGCCTATCATAAGTTCACTCAGACCAGACTCATAAAATTCTTCCACCTCCAGGATGATTTGGTAAGTGAATCCTTCAAGCTGTAATTCTCGTCTGTGCCACACAATTTAGCACCTAGTAATATTCTGTTATATTGTCTGCCGAAGAGCAGGGCAGCCTATCAATACTACAGCGACTTGACAAGAAGACACAATCAGCTGGATTCCACTTACGATTTAGAATATGGGCAGTCCACAGCTAAAGTGTAAAGAGAGACAGGTGCTGCATACAGGGAGATTTCTGTTAACTGCATTTCAAACATCTATCTACTAAGTTAAAACCATGAGTTACTTCTGTACGTGCTCACTATTAGCCCGCCCTATACCATGCTGGTACGAGCCGCCACATCCACAAAGGTAATCAATCCTAAGGAACTAAGCAAACTTTCTGTCACCAACTGTTACTTAGTATTTATGACTCCTTATTGTTAACATAAGTAGCCCTGGTGGTGCAGCGATTAAGCACTCGGGCTGACAATCAAAAGGTCAGTGGTTTGAAGCCACCAGCTGCTCCACGGGAGAAAGATGCGGCAGTCTGCTTCCATAAAAATTACAGCCTTGGAAATCCTATGAGGCAGTTCTACTCTGTCCTGTAGGGTCACTATGAGTTGGAACTGACTAGACGGCAACCGATTTTTTTTAATATACACAGGAAAAGGTGCCATATAATGTTCCTACGGTAAAATGTCCGCTTATACAGTAATCTTATGTGGCATTCACGAACTACTTCTGCTTCCACCTCTGCGTCTGCTGGTCAGCATCTCTTCAGAAGCACCTTCAGAACCTGAAGCAGTGCCAAGCACCTGAAGTGCACCTGTACTGTTCTCAGGCACGCTAGTTCCCGCTCCCTTCCAGTTTAGACACGCTAAATCTGTCTGGAGTCCAACTGTGCGGAGGACTCACTTAGGTAGTGTGTGTGTTTGCTGAATAATTATAAAGTTCCATTACTGGCTATGGAGCACGATGGCTGAGCTCATGGTAGAAGATGGGAAATTCAAACCAGCTCTGTAAACAACCCCAAAGAGTTCTTTTTTTATTTTTTCCATAATTACTTTTTTTATTATTGTACTTTAGATGAAGGTTTACAGAACTAACTAGTTTCTCATTAAAAAATCAGTACACATACTGTTTTGTGACACTGGTTGCCAACCCCATGACATGTCAACACTCTCCCCTTCTAAACCTTTGGTTCCCTATTACCAGCTTTCCTGTCCCCTCCTGCCTTCTAGTCCTTGTCCCTGGGCTGTTGTGCCCATTCAGTCTCATTTTGTTTTATGGGCCTGTCTAATCTCCCAAAGAGTTCTTGAAGTGTTGATATTGATGCCAAAATTTTTTTTAAAAAATTGTGATATCCTTTAGATAGTGACCTTGAAAAGGTAGCAGCCATTCAGTTAAGTTTTTTCGGTTTATCAAACCAGTCTCTTGACTAGACAGACCTACTTAATACTCTATCACACAAGCTTTTCATGTTCTGAAAAAGCTAATACGAAAAAGTATACAAAAAGGTTTTGTTAAATATAATCATTAAATTTCACAAGTAACGAAAATCCTTGAATAAAAGGGAAATAATTTTTCAGCTTTGGAACTAATTCTCTTTACATTAATCTTTATACAAAATACTCAAAAGTCATGCAACTGGTGAGGTTTTAAGGCAATCTGGATTGGATTAATGTTAAAAGTCACTCTCCAAATTTTTTTTTATTTTTAGTAAAAAGAAAAAAAAAGATTACGATAAGACCTTCTCCTTTGTTACCTCCATGTTTACCTGTGGGGGAAAAAATCATACTCAAAACATGTATTGATAGATTCGCTCCAGCTAGATAGTAAACAAAATTAAATATATATTTCAAATCAAATCTCATTACAATAAACTTCAAGGGAGGATACAAATTGTGGCATCTCAGTAGCAAATTCAACTACGAATCCACCAGGTGTTTAAATAGTTATATTAACATAAAGTTAAATACAAGAATAAACACATTTTACTGACTCTAAACTAAGCAAGTATCAACTGTCTTCATAAAGTTCATTCTAACAATACAGATATTGAAATTCACTATGTCTTTTCCCCCAGTCAACACAGGGTACATGTCATTCTTCAATCTTTGCATTCATATTTTTGCAGTAACTGGTCATGCTACAGAAACCTGTGTGTGCCGACAACATCAAGGGTAAGCCAAGGGGGTGTACACGTCACAGGACTCTTACAAACAAAAACCATCAAAGGAACTGCTTAGTGCCACCAGAGTGAAGGAAGCATCGGGCCTGCTCAGCCCTCTTCTCCCAGTGCCTAGGGCATTCCCTGCACGGAGCAGGTGTTCAAGAAGATAAACAGATGCTGAATGAAGAAACGAATGCACACTGCATGAAACTATCAATAAAAACATCAAGAACTTTACTCTCCTCAAACAGTCATTTTTTTTTAAGTACTAAAAAAGCCAGCCAATGAGTATCTTCAATCTAAAGAATACGTTTCAATAAGCAACCTCACCAGGTGAGATGCTAACTCTTCGCACAGAAATAGGGTTAGGCAGTGCCGCGATCTATGCAGCGTACAAAACGCAACAGCATCCGTGATAACTGCTACCCTGTAAATCCGTAAAAGCGAAGTTTATTGATTTTACATATCTAATTACACACTGAAGTTTATTACATCTGGCCCTTTGCTGAAAACATGATAAATATGTCTTTCTCTTTGTTAGCACAACCAATTTTGCAAGGAAGTAGCAAAACAGGAGTATTCAGGAAGCTGAACTGTAGATAAAAAACTAAAAAGTTAATATAAAGCAAACTAAAATTTGCGAAGTTGACAAAATCTTAGACTATTTCTTTTTGGTGTTCCCCCTGCCCCAAAAAATTCCAATATGGCAAAAATCGTAAGCGTTCAGTTCTCAAACATTTCTTTGTTCAAATACAGACCTTAAATAAGTGAAAAGTAATACCACATGGAATTTCTTCTTTTTCTCACCCAAGCGACTTTTGAGAATTTGAATTTGTAAGATACTCAATAGACATAAACAGCAGCAACTGTAATACTGAGCAAACTATGAGGCTACACTACAAACGAATGAATCAATTCACGGGAATCACGGAAGCAGCACTGAATGTCACAAAACACGATGTTTGCGTGAAACCTGAAGTGAAGTAATGAAGACCACTGTGACACTTCAAATGCGACTATTCCAACTGGAACCTAATTGACGCTAATCCTCCTAATAAAGACAGTCTGGTTAGTTTGTGGTTCTAAATTCAAACGATTTACCTCATGCTGAGCACTTCAGATTTTTCATCTTCCACCTTTTTATTCTAAAAAAGCTGTAAACATACGTGTGAAACAATCCCCGTATTTCTTAAAAAAATAACTACTGCCTCATTTAACTGAAGACAGTTTTGTGAGACAGCGAGCACGATCCCCACTGTCCAGTGAGAAAACGAAGCTTCAAACAAGCAGGTTGTAAGTGTGCCAAGGTCATAGGCTAACGATGGCACTGAAGACACTCCCAGAATTCCTCACGCCAAGGCGTCCCCACGGGGTGGCCGTGAGTCGGAGCCGACTCGACAGCACGCAGCAGCAACGGGGGCTTCTCCACTACGCTGCCAGCGGATGTAGAACAACTTCTCAAGTACTCACCATAGAAATGTCCGAATCCCATGCTGACTGCAATCACCAAAGCGAGGACAACACATTTGTTGAGACCACTAGTGAACTGGCGCTTAGGCACAGCCTCCTTGGAAGGGTGGGCTTCTCGGTCTTCAGAGTCGGAGCCGGAAACAGTCCTCCTCCTGGCACGGCGCCGTCGAAGAGCCGGGCTGGGCTGAGGACTCGTATCATCACTACTTGATTCATCACCGCCAGGTTGAGACGGAAATACTATTTTAAAAAGAAAAATGTAGGTATTTAAGGACCAAAATTTTTAGAAAAGCTTCCCCAGTAAATATGATTTAGAATTAACTACCGTCCCTGCATGCCTTTTCACATGAAACAGCCCAAAACAAAGATAAAACACCACAAAAACACAAAAATTCAAGTTTATCAACACAAAGCCAAAACAAAAGATTTCAACTGTGATACACATGAATCCCCTAGTCATAATCTGTGCTTCTGAGGGTCTATCTACTTTTCAGCCCCTCTGCAGTTTACACCATTAGAAAAACAATCATTCGTTCTCGCATCCTATTAACTGCATTGCTGTTAAGCCATAAACAAGTACTATCTCTGGAAGGAAAAAAAAACTGTCTTTCAATGTCAAACAGAGGTAATTTAAGCTCAACTGTTTAGGAAAGTATACAAGCAGTTTCTGTGATTTACGAAGAACAATAAATACCAAAGTCACCCTTGGCTTTATCTGTTCTCTAGTTTCACTTCCCTCCTACCAGCCCAGGATCAAGAGTCAAGCACTGTCAAGTCAACACAGGTTTCCAGAAGTCAGATGAGCCCTTCCCTTCGACTGCCACTCTTACTAGAAGGTTATCAGTTTCACCCTCTAGTAAACATGTCAGCATGAGGAAGAGACACAACAGCTATCTCCGCCAGGAAGGACTGGTCTGTGCTGCTGCTTTATGAAAACAATAGCAAACTGGAAAAAAAAACCACAAGAAAGCTCATGTCCTGGGAACATATCGGCTGGAAAAATCACCATTTTTTCAAACACATAATTTCTTAACACTGCTCCGTATTAACAAACTGTGTTGACATGGATTAGACCATCATGATTTCCACAGGCCAGTGAAAAGAAAACGCACTAAAAGTAAGGACAAACTGTGAACTTGAATTTGATACAAAGAGCTCCAAAACAGCAAATATTCATGCCTCAAAAAAGAGTTCTTCAGAACCCAGGACATCCATGCTACAGGAAAGCTGGTGGTTTCGATTAGATGATCCTGTTTAAAGATGACTCATGGAGGATTCAGGGAACGTTCACACTCACAACCACACACACACAGACAGAGACACTACTGCATGATCAAAGTTCCTAATGTTTACTAATACAGATGCCACTGAGAGACTTCTGGTCATGACCCTTATGCCCATCATGTTTATCTGGTTATTCTTGATCACTAGTTTTTCCAAGATGCCGGGGCCTCAGCTGTGAGGTTACATTTCTCGGACAAAGAAAGGAAGACTTAAACACGCACTGCATAGTACAAAGGCATTCAAGATCACAGCTGGAGTATTTAAGTCAGACTTTCTGACGCAGACGGGCAAATGTAAAAACAGTCAACATTCTTTAAAAGTTTCAATTCTACATTTACACACCGCCTTCATTATGTAAGTCAACAAACCAGTCCAACCCATATTAATAAGCTCAAATCTTACATAATGCTTCCATCTTTTTTAACCCATACACATGACAGACGAAATATTTTTGTTTAAACTTCTTTTAAAGCTTAATTTGGCCCATAGTCCAAGATGCAAGCGATGCAAAGGCATGCAATAAGCTTAGCCAGCTTTTTTACGAGATCAATTTTGAACAGCTGTTTAGAGCATCACAGATGACAACAGGCATCTTTACAGCACTAACAGTCAATGTGGCTAGGCACGCTCAGCTCTAGAGAAGCTGATCAGGTTTAGTCACGCCACCTTGGAAAGCGGGTTGGCTAGGAACATGGTGTTTCAGCTGATCATCCCATCCCCTTATGCATTCAGGAATCTTCCACAGCTTCTCCCACCACCTTTCTTTTGTGAATAAACAGGAAAAAAGATGTGTAAAGCTTTATTATAAAGAATAAAAAGGGGAAAAAAGAATTGACAATACTTCTTTTAAATATAACTTATTATTGTTATCTGTGCTACATCAAAATCTAATAATCATGCCTTTTTATTAAGATATTCAAAACAAACTTTTCTACAACTACCAATTTTGCTTTCTTGGTGGAGAGGGTCATTACAGGAGGGAGTGTTCTTAACTCAACAAAATGTACAGTGCCACAGAATCTAATTTAGCAGAAGAAAAAACTGAAGTTGAAATTCTATAGAGAGAGAAGAAAGGGAAAGGAAGAAACAAAATAACTACGCAATGGGTAGCGTGAAATTTGAGAAAACCAAAGGGGGCAAACGGGAAGGGAAAGAAAACCAAAGGGGGCAAACGGGAAGGGAAAGAAGACAAGAACTCTTGGCGACCAGTGTAGACAGTGTTTTCAGCACAGTCTAACATTTCATCTTTGATTACTTTTTAACATTTTGTTTGTTGATACAATTCTTAGGGAGGAATAAAAATGTATCTAATAAAATATTCCTAACTACATTTCCAAAATTCCTCCAGGAAGTCCTAGTTCACAAAGGAGGTAAAAACCAGAACGGGCTTAAAGGGTCAACAGTGTAATGTCAGTTTCTTAAATGTCTGCGTGGCCCCTTCTGTGCTCCTCTTGCTTTGGTCTATCTTTTCTGGGCCATAAATCATCTCAAATTAAACTAGAACCTGTAGTCTTTAAATAAAAAAAGACTACTAGAATATATGGCACAAATTCTGAATTAAAAAAAAAACACTAAAACTTGAGTACCATAAATGATTCTCAAATCAATTACATTAAGCCCTCGTAAACAGATGTACTACGTATGCTATTATGGTCAGGGATAAAGTTTACCTCCGACTATGCAGACTGCCAGATGAGCAAGTATGTGAGTGAAATGTTCGCGTGTTCTTGACAACAGACAAACTAACCAAAACCAAACCCGCTGCCGTTGAGTTGACTTCGACTCGTATCGACCCTGCAGGACAGAGTAGAACTGCCCCATAGGGTTTCCAAGGAGCAGCTGGTGGATTTGAAATGCCAACCTCTTGGTCAGCAACCGAGCTCTTAACCACTGTGCCACCAATTGGAAATAAAAAAAAAACTGGTCATTAAATGAGAGGTAAAAAACTCTACCCAACATTTTTAACTTTAAACTGGAATGACAGGAACTCGAACTTGTCTGATTCTGGTCTCCAAATGTAAACAACGATAAACTCTAAGAAAATTCTCTGAAATTTCTGCCAGCGGATAAACTAGATGTTCCTATTTTTCCATCAAATTAGGAAATTCTTGGACTCGTTAGCAGTTTTCCGAGGTGTCGCTCCCATAATTCACCCTTATAACTGTGGGTTAATTATAGGTTTGTGTCTCGTGAAATTTTCCAAGAACTTTATTTATATATTTACCTATCCAAATATTTTTATCACCTAGAAAGGTGTTACATATTCCTAAAACTGAGCCGAAGAATTATGGAAGGTACTGAGCTCAGCAACTCACACTTTAACCTTCAAATGATTACGTCTGAACAAGGGGCATTAACTGCATTAAGAATGTGACTTTTAACAGGTACATTTCCATAATACAATCTAAAATGAAAGATCCAAAGGTCAGGGGCTCTGGGATACTGCTCTGCAGCCAGCTCCTGAGCCTTGTTTGGTACATGGTTGGCACTCAGTGAGTGTCTGCTGAATGACTAAATACTGAGTGGATCTGCAACAGTTAAGTAAGAACTTTCACTATTCCTAGAATACAAATTTTGTACTATTGTAAGCAAAAATCTTAACATTCTCCTTTTGGGTGTAATGACTCAATCTCCCACACTTCTAAAGAACTAAAAAGTACCAAATGCATTTTGGAGTGTCTGAAACATCAACAGATCTCCTTAAAGACGTATTTTTGTCTTGTACTTAACGATAAAAGATGGTATTTACAGATAAACAAAGGATTGATATGCTCTAGGCCCTAGAGTCTAAGAAATCACTAGATAAAATAGATTTTACAAAAAAATTTGTGTTTTATCCAAAAATATCCAAAACTTGAGATTCAGGGTTAGAAAACAAGCCACTCCATAAAATGTGGCTTTAGGAGTCCACAAGTCTCCTATCGGTGTACTCTGTCTTTACACAGTTCTTACCAGTTTCTGGCTGACAGAACGTATACTGGCTGCTAGAGGAAGAGCCCATGTTAAAGTCTTCTGGGCTCTGTGCTTCTTTAACAATTACAGCTTCTTCCTGAGTTCCAATTTCTTCTAACTTAGGTGGCTCAAGGGTAACAATATCAGAATCATCACTGACCGTTCCAAAATACACATTGTCTTCAGGTGACTTCCCTTCCTCTGCCTGAAGAAGAATTATAATTTTAGAGACAGTAAATGCAACTATTATTCTAGGGCTTTATATTTTCTCTAAAGCTCAAAGTGTTATGATAGTTTGAGGTCAACACAGAAGACATAATTCCTGCCCAACAGGAAAGGATTGCGCAGAGGAGGCTCATCTTTTAGCGTGAAAATACCACCAAGCTCCTTGGCAACTCTACGAATCAGACCAGGTTGGACATTTTCCTAGACAGCCCACCATTGCGCCCCACCGACCACAGGAAGGAGAGAGTTCATTTGTCTCACCAGTTTCCTGGGTTTATTTAAGCATAACTCTGCAGTCAGAGAACCCATAAAAGACTGATTAAATTTTTCTGATTATATATGTAATAAACTTCAACAGCTGTACCATGTAAAGATCATCTGGCTAACTAGTTTTATCAAAAAGTCAAGGAAAATTCCAAAGGGTAAGATTCATTTTGTTCTCAAATTTAAAAACTAACCTTCATTTTAGATAAGAATTCTAATAGCTTAATTTCCCAATGCAACTCAAGAATGCAACCTTCTTCCAAGAAAAATTAGAGATTAAAAGAACAGTTCTTTAACACATTAGCAAGAAATCACTTTCTAAATTAAAAGATGCTCACTTAATCTGCAGTCAAAAGAGAAGCTTACTTTAACCTTAAAGCTGACCAATTTGTGGAATCTCAAACTTTTCAAAAAAATTTGCTTATAATTCAAATAGGAATAGAATGCACATCTAGAAACGAAGACATTAATTGTATTATCTAAGAAACACTGTTTATCACATATCCACAAAGTACTAGCTTACCTTAAGAGCTGACCTGGTTTCTTCCACAGCTGAATAAGCCGTTTCGCCCGTTAACATTGTGCAATTTTGGCTGTTTTCTGATATAAAGCAAAGATCAATTACATTATTTCTTCATTTAAAACACTTTGTTGACTTTTTGTAGTCTACATATAATTATAATGTAGGCAGATAAAATCTATTCCTAGTTTGTTAAAGTGGATTTAGTCAAATGTCAAATACAATTATAACAGTCACTATACTATTGCTGAAAAGATCGCTGTATTTCAAATACAGTTATTTGAAATTGTTAGGGGGTAATTTTAAATACTAAACTGAATTCAAGACCAATAACTCAAATCAAAGCTCATCTAACTAAGTAAATAAAATCTCTACCTTGCAATAACAAAGTACTTCTTAATCCAAGGTGTTTGAAAACTCCATTCTCAAATACCTGGTGTTGTATCTCCTGAATTCTTAAAGTTCATTCAAAATTCCTAAAGGTATCATAGGGCAACATTTGTAGTATCTGTTAAATGGGAGACTATTTTGTCCTGTAAGCCTTCATCTTAAGTGAGAATAACAGCACAATTAGAAGAGCGCAGTCAAAGTCACTTAAATGTGTATGTAAAAATTTTTGAAATGGTGTATCTTTGGCTATGTGTATTTTCACCAAAAAAAAAAAAAAGTTGAGAATTTAGAGGGTTAAAATGTTGTGGGGTTTTTAACCAACGTCATAAAACAGCATGTGTGCCACTGTTATATGAGAAACTATTTGTTCTGTAAGCCTTCACCTGAAATACAATAAAATATTTAAAAAAAAAAAAAAATTCCTAAAGGTACTATTTTTCTAGTGACTGCCAACGCTTGGTAACACAGGAATCAAAACTATGGCTGCAAATTAGATATGCTTTATAATAAAAAACTACAAAACAGAAGGACTCAAAGAACATGGAAAAACAATACAGTGTCACTACAGAAGATACAAGAATCATTTTAAAGGAAAAATGTACAAACAGGATATTGTGTTCACAAAACCATATTTTTAATTAAAAAAAGCTATAAAATGTTAACAGAACTAAAAAGTATTAAAACAAGTATAACATACAAATTTATGTACAAAAAGAACACAAACCAAATGATAATAGCAATTATCTCCAGATAAAAGAATTATAAGTGGTTTTAAATTTCTTTAGCTTATCACTATTTTTTCCCTTCCATGAGTATATCATATGTAATTAAACACTCCCAAAAGACAAAAAAAAGAAGAAACACCATTTTCGTATGTTTTATAAATATAGCCACTAAGAGAATATTAACTTAATTTGGAGATAAGACTCCTCGACAAAGGTAGACATGGGTTCAAGGACTCCTGAGGGAGCACAGAAATTTTCATATGTAAGTACACTTACTCCTCACTTATCAACATGGTTAGGTTTCAAAGACCAGGTCGTTACACGGAAATCGGCATTACATGAAACTGAAGGATGATCACATCAGATCACAAAATGGAGGGTGATCACAGCATTACGTAACTGCCAAGCCACTGAGAATAATGGTCTAGCCAAGTTTAAACACAACCTTAACCATCACAGCCAGCATTCCTCTCATCTCGCATCTTGGTGCTCTCTACTGGCAGACATAACGTCGTTAATGCGCAAAACAGTCAAAAAGATTTTTTTTACTACTGTCGAAAATGCAAAATGTCAGAAAATGAGATAGTTGGTAAATGAACAGTATGTGTATACGCATTTCTTGAGAGAGACCACCCACAGCTTTTAAGTTCTCAAAGGGATCTCTGAGCCACAATATTTGAGACTTGCTGTTCGAACGAGAATAGTAATCAACAGGTAGGCTGAAAAAAAATGAATAGGTATAATCTATTGTATTTCTGCCTCCACACATCCATTTTATTCTCTTGAGTGGGGAAATGTTCTGTTTAATATTTTAATGCAATGTTTATAAAAATGAAGAATTTAAATATGAAGATAAAGTATGCATTACTTATTTGGGAACCAGTACTTCTCCACATAATTAATGTGGGTATCAAATCCCACAGGAAGCATTCATAACACTGATGCATTACAGTTTGCAAATACCATTTACCACCTCTAACCAGAGTACTCTAAAGCATGAGAGTTTAGTAAATCCCTTTTGACAAATTAATAATTTTGTACACTACCAGTCTTGATAATAACCACAAGAAAATATAAATTCAACTGCCAAAAAAATTCATGTTAAACCACATTAACAAATAATATTTGGTCATTGGTTACACTTGCAGAAGTTATCATATAATCTGGAGGCCCAAACATGTATTATGGTTGCAAATCAACAAACACTTTGGGCAGGCTGGTGCCACCGAGTTCTGCAGGCCTAATCGACACTAATCCTAGCACTGCAGTGACTTGTGCTGCGGGATCACTCAGATGAGCCACAAAGGCTGCCCATCTGGAAATAAGACAAAATCCGTGTCACCCACACTACAACCTCTAAAAAATTCATAATTTTTGTTAACATCTTACCTCCCTGTTCTGACTGCAATACTTGTAGCTCCTCTTGCTCTAGAGATGAACATTCTGGAGTGAGCTCCCGGCTGTCACTGGCTAGGCCACGTTCAGAATTCACCATCTCTGTATCAGACCCCTAGGGCAAAAGCGATAATCACCGAAAGTTATTTGCCTATCAGCTGTTCAAACCTAGAATTGACTGTATGTAAATGCTTCCATTATTGAAAGTCCCAGAGCCTGCCACACTCCAAAGGGAACAGATCTGTACTGACTGGCTTTTGCTTAATTTACCCACAAGAAGGCCTATGACAAGGAAATGGCAGGATGGAGTCACAGGTTTAGATTCTAAGTCAACTTAGTCTCAAAGGTGCACACTCTGACCACACTCTATTTTATGTGACTAAGTGATAAATTTTAATCCCAGACGCTAAAAGTTTCTGAACCTGGCTAGCTATATTCTATTAATTTACTTCCACTCAATTATCTGTGGAACTACTATAGGCCACGCACTCTACTAGGTGTTTTGGGGTAGAAAGAACTCAAATCCAAAATTTAAACTTACAACCTATTCAGAGACACACAAGCCGCATGCAAATAACTACTTATCAAAGAATATGTAACTCAAAATGTTTAAGTGTATGGATTAAAATGGAAGCACTGACATAATGCAGTGAACTTAAATTTTAAACTATCTTTTGAGGTTGTTTTGATTTCAGACTGTCTTTTCTTTAATACCATAGTGGTGATTAGAGATCTTAGGAGTTTTTTTTCTCATGTCTCAATTAACAAAATAAAGTTAAGAACCACTAAAGTTGATTCTGCCTCCCACTCAGCAATTTTTTCTATAGTTTAACTGATCCATAAAATGCAAACATCTGAGTTCTCCTGATATATGTAACTCAGAAGCACAGAAATTACAATAATTTGAGTTAAGCCCTAAGGAGAATTCTAATTCTAATGTAAGACTTTGGGGTTGCAGGGATGACCAGTTACATCCTAAACCAGAATAGCAGCAGCGATGGGAAAGGAAAGGCACACACTTGAGATATGACCAAGGAGAGCAGAACCTGGTGAGTGGCTACAGAAGAAGAGGGATAAAAGCACAAGGACTCACTTACGCTCTGACAGGACAACCAGAATACAGAAAACTAATGACACACTTGGCTAAGTGCCAGAGAGGCTTGCCATCTGGCCCCACCCTAAAGATTCACAAGTTAAAGACACCCACAGCTGCCTTGCTCCTATTCTATTAATGATCCTTGAAGGAGAAGCTGCTGTGGGAGTTGATCTAAGCTTTGCAGAAAACAAGTTAAAAACAGAGAAGTCATTTATGATTAGGAGAAAAGAGAACACCAATCTCAATTGGTATAAACCAAAAAAACCAAACGGCTGTTGCCGTCGAGTCGGTTCCTACTCATAGCGAGTCTATAGGACACAGCAGAACTGCCCCACAGAGTTTCCAAGGAGCGCCTGGTGGATTCAAACTGCTGACCTTTTGGTTAGCAGCCGTATCTCTTAACCACTACGCCACCAGGGTTTCCCAATTGGTACAGCTGCTGTTAAACTTTGAACAATTCATACAGGGGAAAAAAAAACAAACAAATCCATTGCTGTCAAGTATTCTGACTCATAGTGACCCTACAGGATGGAGTAGAACTGCCCCATAGGGTTTCCAAGGAGCGGCTAGTGGATTCGAACTGCTGACCTATTGGGTAGCAGCTGTAGCTCTTAACCACTGCACCACCAGGGCTGAAGTAATGTTTATTTTGTTAGTACTATTTCCACAGCACGCGACTAACAAACTGTCTAAGCCTTAAATAATCAAAGTAATTCTAAAAACAATCATCTAAAAATTTTATCAATGAAGGAAAACAAGTGAGGTTTAAGAAATCCTAAAAACAAATAGGAAACTATAGACAAACACATAAAAACTTTCAACAGGGATGATTTTTATTTCATTGTTTCTGTTCATCAGCACTGACTGTTTAACAATGAACACATATTACCAGTGTAAGAAAACAAGCTAACGTTTATTACACACTAATCATGCAGCAGAGGCCCTGCATGGCTCAAATGGTGAAGGGCTTGACTACTGGCCAAAAGGTTGGTAGTTCGCATCTACCCAGAGGCGCCTTGCAAGACAGGCCTGGTGATCTGCATCTCAAAGGCCACAGCCTGGAAAACCCTATGGAGCAGTTCTGCTCTGCACACACGGGGTCATCATGAGTCAGAATCGACTCACACTAACAATAAATCATGCAACATCATTCTTCTATAATAAAATTCATTTTGTCACAGGGTTCTACCCACAGTCCTCTTCCGGTCAAGCCCTGCTGACCACATCCATAACATAACACTAGGGGAGCACATGTTCTCCATGCTCCTTTCTGGGCTGCTCAAAGCCAGGCTCTGCTATCTTCTAGATATGTAATCTTAGCCAAATTGTTTTTAACCACTCTAAACTTTAGTTTCCTCAACTGTAAAATGAGAATCAAAAGCATCTCTACTACAGAGTTGTTTTTAAAATGATGAGAGAATATAAGTAAAGCAGAGGGCCTGACCCATAAAAAACCCTCAATAAATACCTGCCTAATGTCTCAAAGCTGAGGAAAGCAATATACAATAATATAGAAGATGCTGACCCATGGAGACTTCTCAACAGTTCAGTTTAATGTATGTAGGAAAATGTCCAAGCTCCAGACAATGGAACTCTACACTAAAATGCAGAAAACTACTGGCCTTCAAGAGTTCTAGGAAGCACAGATCTACTCTGACACGAGGTCGTCATGAGTCAGAACTGACCCAATAGCAACTGTTTTTTTGGTTTCAAAGAACTTATATTTCACTGTAATATTACAAAGTACCTCGTAAGTATCAAACACCATACCTCATGACTGATGACAGTCCAGCCACAAGATGAGTCACTGTCGCTGGAATTTTCAGACATCTTTCAGGCGTCTACAAATACAAGAACATATTGACTCGTACGGCACCTTTCCAAAAAAATTCTATGAACATACAGGAAGCACTCTACGTGGCACAAAGTATGCAAAGTGGCAGACTGCCTTCCAGGTGACAACCCACCCACAGATTTACCACACACGACAAACACAACCGAACCTCTAAGATAGGGGTATCTTCCCGAGCTAGCATCGTCTAGAGAGTCATATTACTACAATGAAAAAGAAAGTGGGTCTGAAAGAAAATGCTGGATTTGACCAGGGAGAGCTGAAAGGGAAGGAGAACCGGATTGTTGAACAAGTCTAGGGGTGGGGGAACAGTGAACAAGGGAGAAACGAGAGTAAAAGCCTGTATTTTCAGTTAACAGCAAGGTGGGAGAAGCATCGCTGAAGAAACCACGCACAGGAAAAGCAAGGGTTCCCACACCAAGCAAAGGGATGTCTACCTGTTGGTATTATGAAGCAAATGAACTTTTTTAAGCAGGGAAGAAACGTGATCAAAACAGTTTTTATGAAAATAACCATCTCAGCAATATCTCAGTTGACTAAAGCAAAAGAAAAAATCAGTGGTTGGTTAGAAACTCGTAGCCATTGGCAATAACCTAGAATCAAGCATTAAACCAGCATACATCGACTGGTCCCTCTGCATGCTTTGTTTTTCCTTCTCTAGTTCAAGCTTATTTTAACTTTAAAAACCAGCTCATTAAAGTGAAAGGTATCTTACTGATTTTGTTCCACAAATCTAACTCCTATAAATGCTTCTATTATTGCAAATATACTGTGAGCACATGAGACTGAGCTGATGGTTCATATCCTAATAGAACCCTACTGCAGACAATTTAATATTGCTCAAATATGGAGAACAGGGCAAAAAATACACATCTGAATTGTCCGTTAGTGATTTCTGAAACTCTGAGAATACGTTACAGAGAAGAATATTAACAGCAAATTAATATTTCAAGAAGAGAAATAAAATACAAAGTGGTCTGTCACTACTTAACCAGTATAAAAATTACCATGTTTTCAGATAAATTATTCAAAAGTTGAAATAAGACAAAGATGATTGTATGACTAATAAGTTTTCTAATAGGTTTGTCTGATGTCATCTGATTGTTTGACTTAGTATTTACAATTGATTAGGGTCCAGGTAGCTTGTGACTCTAAACGTAAAACTTGTTGAAAACTGTTAGGGGGAAATAATTTTCTTCTGTCCAGTAGATTATCCCAAAAGTTATAGTCTGAACACCCTGTAGGATATTAACCAATTTTATATCTTAGGTTACCAATTTCCACATTTCCTATTAAATTGGAATAGTAAAAACTCCCATTTCTCACTGAACCAGTTTTATAATTCAGCCGGTTCTCTCAGAAGCTAAAAACAAAACAAAAAAAGACTTTTGATACAGCGTATTTGTATGAGAATTACGTATTTTGTTGTTGCTGTTTTTTGTTAACAATTTAAGAATTATACATCGACACACGGGAGTACAAACAGACTGAGCAATTAAATCTGCAGGAGGAAAGTGGAATAATCAAAGGCTTTGTAAACGGGGTTGCAAACCAGACAGCATGTTTTTCAAATTGAACTGTTGTTGTTAGGCGCTGTCAAGGAAGTTCTGACTCATAACGACCCTACAGCACAGAGTAGAACTGCTCCATAGGGTTTTCCAAGGAGCAGCTGGTGGATTCTAACTGCCGACCTTTTGGTCAGCTGCCAAAATTTAAAAACTGAGAGATGCTACATAAAGATTTCTGGTTCCTCACGAAAAAGAAGACAAACCGCAGAAGATCTCATGACAATGGGAGGATTTAGCAAGAGAGAAGCACAAAGCACTACACAGTGAGAAACAGCAAGAGCAGAGACGAAAACCACTGAAGAGCAGGAATGTTCTAAGAAAGGTAACAGACCCAGCATGGGCAGAGTGCTACAAGAATTTCAGGCAGGAATGCTCATGATCAGATTTGAATTTTTTAACAGCCATATATTAAGACGGGGAAGCAACTAAGGGGCCCTAGACCTGTGGAACGCAAGGAAACAATATTCCATGAAAAAGACAAGTGCCTAAATTTAACTAGAATTGATGTGGAAGAGGTGAAAGAAGAGGGGAGGTGTTAAGGGAGATTTGAGACGTCACTGAAGATGCTTTTAAGGGGAAAAGAGGATTGAATAACCAAATAAAGTAAGTATACAGCTCCTGAGTTTCCGGTTTAAGTGACTGAATAATTGGGAAATCCACTGTCTACGTGTACATATCCACTGTATATGGATCAAGGCATAGCAAGGCCGTGAGAAAGAAAATGGCTGAAGCCTAAAAAGCATCCTCTCCGCATCATGCGGAAAGCTGCTCCCCTTCTCTACGCACACCCTACCCCCCAACCAGTCTCGCTGCAGGTCCATCTCACCCAGAGACTCACCGTGCTTTATGTTCTTCACAGCCTTCCAGAACTTCTGGGCTACCAGAACTGACCAGGGATGTTTAAGCAGCACATGTCCTCAACCCTTATTTGAAGTAGTTCTTTTAAACAGGCAGTCCCTAGCTTTTGTTTTCTAGCTGATGGGATTAAATAAACACTTAAAGACAAACAACATTTCAAAAGAAAGTAATGCACGTTGCTAAATTGGGAAAACTCTGTTGTCAGTTGCTGGTGAAAGGAAAACTCTCACCTGGATTTCTGAATCAGTGAGGCCAATTTAACAAGGCTTCAGGTTTGATTATTGGTTTTCATGTCTTGGGAGAAGGACAAGATTAACATCCAGCCCAAATGAGGGGAAAAAAGAAACCCTACTTGCCGTAACAACACTGTGGTAGTTTTGACTAGCAGAAATCACAAACCTACCCAAGCATTCTCTTAACCCAGATGTTCTCAAAAGGCTGGAGGATAACGTCCAAATGCCTTGCTTGAGTATCTAGTCTTCTATCTCTATCAGCTCATCCTCACTCCCTTCATCCCTCCTTCCCTCAACCTTTTCATTTCCCCTAAAACTACCTGGCTTTCTTTCTTTACTGATGGGGCTTTGCATGTTCTGATCAGTTTCCGTCTGGCTTTATCTCAATCCCAAAGTCCTGTGCTCACGCTTCTCTTCTGAACCATTCCCTGACCCTATCCCCAAAGCCTCTAGTATTTTCCCTAATCTTAGTACTTAAATTAGAATGTTGTTGTTGTTCTTAAGCGCCCTGATAGCAACCCCATGTACAACAGAACAAAACACTGCTCGGTCCTGCACCATCCTCACAATCGTTGGTATACTTGAGCCCACTGCTGCAGCCACTATGTCAATCCATCTCGTTGAGGGTCTTCCTCTTTTTCGCTGACCTTCTACTTTACCAAGCATGATGTCCTTCTCCAGGGACAGGTCCCTCCTGATAACGTGTACAAAGTACATGAGAAGAAGTCTCCCCATCCTTGCTTCTAAGGAGCATTCTGGCTGTACTTCTTCCAAGACAGATTTGTTCGTTCTTCTGGCAGCTCGTGGTATATTCGATATTCTTCACCTACACCATAATTCAAAGGCCATCAATTCGTCTTCAGTATTCCTTATTCATTTTCCAGCTTTCATGTGCATTTGAGGTGACTGAAAATACCGTGGCTTCGGTCAGGTGCACCTTAATCCTCATAGTGACACTTTGCTTTTTAACGCTTTACCTGTTGCCATTGCCGTCCAGTCGACTCCGACTCATAGCAACCCTACAGGACAGAGGGGAACTGCCCCACGGGGTTTTCAAGGAGCGGCGAGTGGATTCAAATTGCCAACCTTCTGGTTAGCAGCCAAATGCTGAACCACTGAGCCACCAGGGCTCCTCTGAACACTTTAAAGAGGTCTTTTGTAGCACATTTGCCCAATGCAATATGTGGTTTGATTTCCTGACTGCTGCTTCCATAGGCATTGATTGTGGGTCCTTGGTGGGGCTTAAAATTCTATTGGGTGACAGTATTGAACTTAATCTGACGGCAATGGATTTGGTTTGGTGCTCCCAAGAAGCAGGGAAGGTTAAGAAATCCCCCCACCCTCTTTTGTGACAAATGGCTAGCTGCCAAAGGACCACCTTGTCCTCACATTCCAGAGATAAGACAGGACTCCACCCTTCCTCAGGACTCCCCTGGCTACTTCCCTCTACCAAATTCCAGGTTTGCTCCCTCTTTGAGATGTTCCTCATTGATGAACTTTCTACTGACAGTCTGGATCATCTCATTTGCCTGGTACATTTCCTCTTTCAGTGGGGACATTATTCAGTGAACAACATAAACAGGTGGACTAGACTGTAAATTAGATGGTACATTTCCTGCTATGAGGAAAAGGGGGAAAGGGGAATAAAAATGCCAGGATGAAGGGTGTTCAGGGAAAGCTTCATTGAAAAGGTACACCTGAACAAAAACTTAGAAGACTCAGTTAACTGGGGGAAGAATGTTTTGAACAGCAAATGCAAAGTTAGAAACCAGCCTGACATCTCAGAAACATCAAGGAGTCCCGTGTGGGTGGAGTGGAGTGACCCAGCCTGAGAACAGGAGATGCCAACAGTCAATGGAATAGGGCTGGGGGACAGATCGTGTCGGGCCTTCTGGGTTCTAAGAACTTAGCTTTTACTCTGGAGGAAACTGAAATGGAGGAAAAGAATGAAAGATCACTCTGGTTGTCTTACTGAGACAACACTGTAGGGCAGCAAAGGCAGAAGCAGGAAGACAATTCACAAGTTTCCTGCAATAATGCAGGTGAGAGACGATGGTCTGAACCAGGGTGGTGGCAGTGAAGAGGGTGAGAAGAGGACATTTTTGAAGCGAGAAGTGTACATATATTTTGAAGGGTCACAGAGATGGGAAGACTTCAGAAGGACTGGGGTTGTCTGAGGAAAATCAGTGAGTTGACTTTGGACATGTTAAATCTGAGGTGACAATTATCATACTGAAGTAGAAACATCATAGAGGCAAACCAGAGACTGAGTTCAGGGGTAAGTATGGGCTAAAGATGAAATTTTAAAACACATTAGGTGGAAGTTGTCA